GTATGGTTCAAATGAAAGGAATAAATTCATTATAATGGAAGTAGTTGGTTTTTCGAAAAAATGCTCGGATAGGTCAATTTTGGTAACTTAAAGCGCAATTTTTTAAATAGAATTCAATTTTCCCCCACTTCCCATTTTTGGGCAGTGACGTCATTGACAATTTTATTAAATAGTAACCCCAATTTTTTTTTCTTGATTTTGATAGATCTTGCAATTTCCTACTCGGAAATATAATATTTGTAATATCTGACATAACAATTTTTTTTTGAATAAAAGTCATTTAAAGATCAGATACATAAATTTAATTTTATTTTGAAACACAATAAATGAATAAAAGATTATTTGTAATTAAGTGCTTCATCTAAAAAATAATAATAATAAAAAGAATTTAATGACAATTTCACAAATTCTTTTTTATTATTGTTATTATTATTAATATTATTATTATTTTGTTAGATTAAGCACTTAATTACAAATAATTATCTTTTATTCATTTATTGTGTTCTCAAAATAAAATAAAATTTATGTGTCTGATCTTTAAATGACTTTTATTCAAAAAAAATTGTTATGTAAGATATTTCAAATATTATGTTTCCGAGTAGGAAATTGCAAGATCTTACAAAATCAAGAAAAAAAAATTGGGGCTACTATTTAAAAAAACTGTCAATGACGTCACTGCCCAAAAATGGGAAGTGGGGGAAAATTGAATTCTATTTAAAAAATTGCGTATTGAGTAAACAAAATTGACCTGTTCGAGCATTTTTTCGAAAAACCAACTACTTCCATTATAATGAATTTATTCCTTTCATTTGAACCATACTGTATGGAAAACACCCGCATAAGTCGGATATTTTTATCAAATTGTAGGCTTGTTTTGGTTCTTTCACGAACTAATTCAGAATCAGTGAATTACACTCGTTCAGCTCAAAAAGTTGATTATTATCGCGACGTATTCTTGAAAAATGAATTCGTTAACTGTATTTAAGAACTGGAATTGGCGGTTCTGTTTGAACCAAAACAAACCCTTTATTAATTCTCATAAATAGAAATAAGTAGTTAGATTCTATTATTTTATTTTTCGGAAAGTTCGCGTAACGTCCTATACCACATAAAGTGGCAGTACAAGCCAAGCGCTTTGTTTAAACAGTTTTCATAAAGGAAAACTGAGACGCATACCTTCCTTATAAGGCTAAAATGCTAAAAAAAAGGTATATTGCTGGTACTTACATGAATTACTTGAACTATCACTTATCAAATCTAATAACTGCCTAAATTTTTTCTTAACTATGTTTTTCGATTTTTTCGCTTCGGCATTCTCTTAGCTGTTAACACTTCGACACAACGAACAATAATGATTAGCGATCGTTGGATCGCAGGCACTGTGATTTGCAGATATACCGGGGAGACTCAAAATTTTCTCAAAACGTTGTGGCACTTTACTAAACGTCAATAAACTACCAAGTGGTATATATTGGAAAACGGACAAGTGAAATATAATTGATTTTAGCGCCCTCTAGCTCGATAAAAAACTGTTATGTATTGTATAGTGTGACACTTCATTTGAAAGTTAATTTTATTACTAATTCAATGCATCACAACAAAATAAAGTTAACAATAATACAATGACTAATTTTCATACTTTTGCAAGTACAATATAAAAATATTTAGATTAAAGTTATGTGGTTCATTGAATTAGTAATAAAATTAGCTTTCAAATGAAGTGTTACACTTTACAATACATAACAGTTTTTTTATCAAGCTAGAGGGCGGTAAAATCAAAAGTAACGCAATGAATAGCCTTATTGCCGAATTCTCCATCAAATTATACCTTTTTAATGATGTGTCATCCAAGGTACTTTTAATTTTGTATTGATTTCTCAGAAACTTTTATTCCTGCTAAGAGATTATGCAAAAATAAAAAGAAATTGACGATGTCCAGTTTTGGATTAGATATACAAGACCACAAAAAAGTACAAGTGCTAAAATAATTTCCTATAAATCTATAAGTATCATATTTAAAAGGTGGTAATAAACAAATATTATTTATATTGATAATAAATTAGTCAACTCATTAAAAAAATATGTTCTAAATAAACGATTTTTTTTGTATGTCGATTATTCAAATGATAAAATTAAAATTTCGATTACGAAAATAATAGCTTAATAGAAAAAAATCAAAAATCGATTTTTGTTAAAATGCTATCAAAAGTACAGTAGCGTGCAGTTTTCAGGGAATACGATTTTTTTTTAAATATGATACCATGTATATATGTTTTTGAGTTATTAAACATCAAATATCTTAGTTAAACTATAGTCTAGATTCTAGAGAAGAAAGGAGTGCAACAACTTAATTTTCAGAACGTAGTACTTCAGAAGGTATACATTTTATTTATACCTCATCCTTCACTTATTTGTAGTTAAAATGAACATTTTAATAGATTTGATCGGCCTAAAAAAAGTTTTCGTTTAGATTTAATCACGTTTTCAAGGTTTTTACTATAATACTTTTTCTTTTGACAGATAAGTCAGACATAGCCGTATCGCATGTATTTTAATTGAATCGGAATTGTATTAGTGCGTAATTGTCCAATATTTCAATTTGTGTTATAGACATGCAAACAAATTTCAAATAAATGTTATAAGGACTTGAAAAATACATATTTGAAAAATATTTTTGGATATACAGGGTATTGCGTTTTTGCCTGACAAATTAAAATGTATGATTTTTAAATACCCGTATTTTATTTTATTTTTAGAATGGTTTGAACAGAATGAAACGAATAAATAAACTTTCAGTTTGTTTTTATATTTTCAGTTTATTTTATAATTTGTTGTGTTGACCAGCTACCCCTCCCCTAGGCCCCAATTAATAATGCCTACCAAAAGTCCTGCAGTCCTGGAATCTCCAAAATCTTTTCGAACTTTGGTGCAATGACATAGTATTCTTCAAACAATCCAGTACTATTATTACTCGATCCAACTATGGTTGAACAGAGACGATGTCTTCTTTGATGGTTATGCTAAATGGTAAAAATGAAACTACTCAAAAACAATTGAAAATATTTTATTCAATTAAATAAACATTTTACAATAAAGGTGATATTTTAAATCAATTAAATATTATTGTTAACAAAATAAGAAAAAATAGAATGTCTTTACTACTACTGCCGTGGTCACAATAAAAAAAAAGTCCATCAACCTATAATAAATTACTTTTTGGTATGATTCACCTATTTTTTAGACTTTACAATATGTACAAGATAACTTTCGTGTTAATAATTACATAATAGATAATAAAACACAGCCAAAAACGCTGTTGACTATACAGAAAAATACAGAAATCTAGCAGAGTATTATAGTTTAGCTAAATAATTTTTCTTCACAACCAAATAAACACATTTTTATTAATCCTGCATTTTCAAAGGCATTGTTTGCATAGTTCATAGTTGTCTTAAAGTATCCTAAGGAAATTACAGAGTGAAACATATACTTTAAATAATAGAGGTGACATTCCATTTGTTATTAGTTTCTCAGTCAGCAATAAAATATACTCAGCAATGATAGAAACATTTAACTGTGCGTTGTTAGTTCAAGATCTGATGATAAATTTGGGAAGGTATTTCATGCAATTTGAAATTATAAAAAACAATACTATGTTGATGTTAGTGAATCTGGAATCGAGTCAGGAATAATAGGACAGCAAAAAACTTATCCAAACAAAATATCCCCCAGACACCTTGGAATTAGTTTATTTTTTTAATTTTTAAAGGAAAGAGACATATAAGTTGTTTGGTATAGGTAATCCTTTCAAATAGTCATACCTAGAATTTCCAATTTAATAAGATATTTGTTTATTAATATTAAATTTCTTTTATCCCCAAATTCGTCATCAGCTCTCCGACTATGCCTTGTAAAGTGACGATCTTTTTAAACTTTCATGACAAATTTAATTCCAATTATTTTCCGTTTTTTGAAGTGTTTTCTGAAATACGGGTCAAACGTACCGTGCGTGGACACTACGGTGGCCTCATCACCGTTGCTAAGGACGGAGTGACGTTATAGAATGAAAAAGTGAGTTGACAGAAAATATTCTGCTTGGCTTCCTACAATAGTTTTTTAAAAAGTCTAATAATGTATTATTATTTAATGGTATTTATATTTTTATTTTTGGATTATTTTTAGTGTATTAGTTTTTATAATATCGGTAGTTTGATTTTTTGAAAGCTACAAAACAACAAGGAAAAATCTTGTAATAATTTCCAAAAAATAATAAATAAATTACTTTTATTTAAATTATAAAGAGTGCCGTAGTGTTGCTGTTGGCAAACACAATTTTTACAAGCAAAAATCATTAGAAGAAAGGGACTGGACCTAAACTGAAATTAAAGGCTAATGGTAAGATTTTAGAATATTATTCTGCAATTTTATTGGCCGCATTCAGCAGAAGCAATCGATTTATGATTTTCTTCTGAATGATATATAAAAGAGCGATTAGTAATCAAATGATGAGTTATCGGCCGCCATTTAAAACATCGAATTTGAAATACGATTAGTTATCACATCGTGATTAGATTTAGAACTCATACCAACTGAAGTGAATGTTTTGTGGTGGTACTCATAACCTTATTTTATGTTTATTTTGAATTCATTTTTACACTGGATTTGTCATTTTTCACTGAAATGGAGGACTTTGGAGTGATATATGTTTATAACAATATGAAATATATTTTAGTTGGTAATGAAGTGTTGCACAATGCATTAAAATCAGGCAAATACATTAATTTATAATTATGTAGTTGAGTAATTTATTTGGTGTTTTATTCTAAATTTTGTACCTATGTTTTAGATGATGACTTTTTTCTGAAGTACATGTCACTTTTATGTCGCCTGTCGAAGTGCCTAATAAGTTCATTCAGGAGATTCACTAATCGATAAGTCATCGCTAAGTTATCGTTTGATAATCGCTTGCTTCTGCTGAATGCGGCCAATATCATTCACAATTATTAAATTAATTGCAACTACATTTAAAAGCAGATCGAATGGTTTCTTGCAAGCATTAAATACAACTAAGGGCAAGAAAAGTCAAAGGGCTTTATTAATAGAACATACATTATTGAAAAAAGGGTTTGCTACAAGAAGTTTTTAGTAAAAATCAGTTACAAATAATTTTAATGAAGAAAACAAGGGCCTGTTGGATTTCAGACGAAAAATACAATGTATATTTATATCGGAAATAAAAATATATTTTTTCAGTGCCTAGTTATTTTATGTGTGAACCGTATAATGTACTTAAAAAGACGAATAAACATTCCAGTTTTATTTAATGATTCGCGTCCGAATGTCATCTATAAAATCCTCTTCCTTAAAATTAAAACTACATATTTTCAGTTTTAACAATAATTTGATATTTTTCTAAAACATTGCACCCATATTTTTGAAAATGGTCGCTTTTTGGGAAAGGGAAAAATGATATCCTTTTTTCTGAGGACTTTTGTTGGTAAAAATTGTGTTTGCAAACAGCAACACTACAGCTTGCTCCAGACATGCTAAAATTTCAAATTATTTTAGGATATAAACAAAATGAGGTCCGAGTTCTGCTTGGAGGCTGTACCCTAACCCAAAACTTTGAAATTAAACCATTCATACAATACACAATAATATTTCTCTTTATAATTCAAATAAAAATTAATTCATTTGAAATTTTATGAAAATAATTACATCATTTTTCCTTGCTGTTTTTATTATAAAACTCTCAACGCTGGAAAAACAGTCCAAAAATATTAGATTTTTTAAAAACTAATACGAACCTATATTTTTCATTCTGTGTCGTCACACTCCCGATCCTAACAACCTGATGAGGCCACTGTTTCAGTCTACGAATCGTGGGTCAAACGAGTTTCGGTGGGCCGGGAATCAACTGAAAATAAAGCAAGAAGTGGAATGAATGCCTTCAGACACCAACCAACTATGTTTGCAGAACAATGAAAAACTTGCAATATCGATTTCTCTGCCGTGAATTCTTTGAAGCAATTACCAAAAACCGATTGAGATTGGGGAACAAGACGTGAACAAGTGCGGAATACGTGTATTAGAGCGAAATTTATATATACTAACGTTCACGGTGTATGTGTGTGGATAATCATACACAGAACAAAGCATGTCACCAATAGAAGACAGATTTAAAAAAATCACACACAATAAGAGCCCAAACTTCGAACTAGAGTCACTAAATAAAATGGAGAGAAGTAACAAAAACAAAAAGAAAAATTGATTCAACAAAAAATTCCAAGAAGCTGCCTATATAGAAGTAAACCTTGACGTATTCAGTCGAAAAAGGGTAGAATTGGACATGTGGTATGATGCTATCTTCAACATTATCTGGGTTAGAAACTAGGTTAGGTTAGATTAATTACTTTTATTTAATTGTCAAGTAGAAAATTTGTCTGGTTTCCCTCATAGCTAATTAAATGACAGCCGTTTTAGTGTAGTGTACAATAAACAAATTCTTTAGAGAGCTACACTTTCCTTAGAAAGCATTTTAAGACTTTTAGGAATTATTCAAATACACATGCCGTATACAAATATACTGTACTTAAAATACAGTGCAGTAAGTCAATGAAAAATAGATGATTCATCTAAATGTGCCGTGGCCAAAAATATGAAATCACCCATATAACGGAAATGAATTTTCGGAATTATTTGGCTAAAACGCAAAACTTCATAAAATTAACTGTCAACTTGTAAACAAAAATCGCAAATCTGTGTATATTTAGTTGAGAAAAAAATCGTTTAACTCAGTAAAATTACATTCTTTGCTGAAGTTCTGGACATGCATACATACAGGGTAATCCAAAAACGAAATATTAAAATGAAAATATATGTACATAAGATTTTTATGGCTTATATTAGTAACCAAGGGATTATGGTTTTTGTATAAGGAATAGGTCCCATATCCATCTCTTTATACAGCGTGTTCCATAAAGTTCGAACCGTATGGAATTTTTTTTAATATTACGATTGGAAAAAACGTCGTAGGGCATTCACATCTGCTTTTTTTTTAAACTTAAAATAGTCTTTACTAAAGTTGGCTAGGTACTGCATTAGTTATCTGTCAAAATCGGTATTTTTTTGAAAAATGGTTCAAACATTATTTTTTTAATGCGAATTTTACAGGAAACTAATTTCAGTAGCCAACTTTGACATAAGTTGTTTAAAATTTTTAAATAAGCATTTTTTCCAATCGTAATATTGAAAAAATCTCATATGGATCCAACTTTATGGCACACACTGTAAGATCTCTTAAAATAAATGAAGACCTCATTCAGTGTTGTTAAGTGGTATATGGCCGATTTAAAATGTATATGTAATAAAATAACAGAACTTTATAAAAAAAAAATATTATAGTGATTATTTAAAGATCTTCAAACTCCAATTGAACTAAAAACTGATTTTAAATCAACCAAATGCCACAACTAAACTTCTTTCACACTTTAGCCTTCATATTTCAAACTAGTTAAGAATATAATTTTATTTATATATATTTATTAATTTGATAAAAATCACCCTGCCAAAACAATAAAGCACTTAAACATTAAAAACCAATCACAACTCATTAAAAATAATTTTATTACCTTAAAGGAACAGATAGAATAACAATATATAACACTCCTCTCAAGATATAGATATACTAGTTTAAAATAATGTTAAAAAGCTTTTTGTTTTTAGTGAAATTTCATTTCATCCCTGATCAAGTTAGATATGTATGTAGATTCCAATATTATATTGAAGAATTAAATAAGCATCTTTTTATAAAATGGTTGGTGGTTTCAAAAGTGTCAAAATTTTAACCATATACCTCATTACACTGACTTTTGACAAAAAAATAGATTGTTTCATCTAATTGTCACAATTACACATACGAACCTAAACAGAAAACCTCATATTCAAGAAAAATGTTTAAAACAAAATAAATTAAAACTTTTATAATACCTTTTATACGAATTTTGTATTAAGCACACAATAGTTTTTTGCTTCTCCTGTAAAATGTGAATTTTGTTCTTGAGGTATTGGAACGACACTAGCAATATGTAACCCATCAAATTCAACAACTTTTGTATTTTTTTTTATAACCGTTCAAAATTATCCGAAAATGTTGGTATAATGCCAGTCAAAAATGTTCTTTTAATAAGACTCGAAGGACCATGAATAAACTCTTTTACTCCGGATCGTAAGACCATTAAGAAACTTATTTTAAATTTGGCTCAAATATTCATGTTGGTCCTATCCAGCCAGATTTAAAAAACTTTTTTAGACGGGATGAACCAGATAGTGTATTACCACTGTATAGAGGTACACGGGCAGTAAAATCATATAGGGTAGAGTGAATAATACTAATGAACGAACTTTATGGCTATTGGGTGCATAAATAAAGAAGGGGAAGATACAATCTATTTAGTTTGATTTCCGAAAAATTAAGAAATGTGAGTACCTTTTAAAATTTTAAAAAATTTATGTAGTGGCACGTAATAAATGAATTAATTCCCTATTAAATTATCAGGTCATTGTCTAGTTTGAGCTCTTTTCGTTTATGGAGAAACTAAGCATACTATTTTAAACAAAAATTTTAGTACCATATCTTGTGCAAATTGATAACAACGACGCAATTATTTTTTTTTAAGTAAATATTTTACAAATTGTCTCAAGCAAAGCTCAGATATGCTACTCTTTTACGTCTTACACTGCTGCCAAGTCGCACAAAAAGTTTACCATTCAATTATTTAGTATCAAAAGTACAGCAATTCATTTATAATAATTTTCCTTGCCCTAACAATATTTAAAAATGTTATAACTATTGACGTTTTACCATCCCCCTCCCCCATCACTCCTATTCACTTCCTTTCCCGTAAAATTGATAAAATTAATGGAAAAATGTCATATTATTTAAAAAAATTATTTGTGTCCTTATTATTGATTTGCACAAGCTGTGGAACTTAGGTTTTTGTTTACAATAGCAATACATACAAGTACCTATGCTTAGTTTTTGCGTAAGCGAAAAGAGCTCAAACTAGACATTTACCAATTATCATCTGCTTATTTAAACAAAAGCAAATTTGTTTTTTGAAAATACTCCGTGCATTTGTGAAGCCTCGGCGTTCCAACCCTTAAAAACTATCAAAAGTCTTTAACCAGTAGCCAACACCGCTCAACCATGTTATTAAGGGATTAAATGCAATAGGAAGTATTAAATCTAATTCAGCAGGTTCGGATGATATAGTCACTATATATAACTCTCTACCTGATCAATGTAAAAATAAATCTCTAAAAATCTTTAAAAAATTACTGAAAAAATTTCTTTTGTTTTAAAGTTTGTGTTTATGTATTGTTAATTTTCTTATTGCATGTGTCTATATAAAATGTATATTAAATAATTTAAATCTAAATAACAATGTATATTTGTATTATATGAAATGTTTGTATTTGGTACTTGGTTGAGTGGAACAGCTATGCTGGACTCCGCCGAGGCTTATTAAAATAAAGACGTTTATTATTATTATTATTAAAGACTCCAAGATCCTGGGGCTGGTGACAGTGCTGCCTTACCCCTAATAGTACATTGGTGATAGCGATCTAAATGGGTTAAAGACCTATCATTTATTATACTGTTGTATTTTTTACAACCTGTTCCGTCTCAAACTTGATTCAAAAACATCACAAGCGACTAGCCCCCAAGAAATGACAAAAGCTGCTTGGATATATTTTTAGGCAACAGGCAACTAGTCGTACTTCGTATAAGTGACTTGTACAGTTAGTTGATAAGCTCAATTAAACTAATTAAATTAAGGTATTCAGAATGTTTCTTCGAAATGAATCAAAATATTCTTTAGTTCTTAAATGACTTTAAAAAATTGCTAGGGCCAGGAAAATACTTAGAAATGTATGAAATCCTATACTTAATAAATTTAAAACAAATTACCTAACTTGTACAGCCTGGAGGGTATTAGTAATAGCTTAAAAAAAAATTTTAATCAAATTATGTTGTTTCCCCCCGGCACCACATAACGTTTGGACAGAAATCAGCAGACAAGCACAAAATTTGAAGGTGAAACATCAAAGGAGCCGCTAACGATTGATATACTTCGAGTTTACTTCTATACATTGGTATTACATTTCAGTTCATACAGATAAGGTTAACATTTTCCCCCTAAAGTGTATATTTTCGTTTTTGTAATTTTTGTATGTATATTTTATATAAAAAAATTAGGAATATCTTTAAAATATAATGTTTAAACGTTTAACGACAAACGCCTTTACTTGTACCTTAGGCGAACTATTTAAATTCAAAATATAGAATTTCCTCTAATAGAAAACAACAATGACCAAAGGGTTCCTATGTTTATTTAAATCAGAATGAGCGACACATATTTTTACTATTATCAAAGAATATAAAATAATATTTGCAGCACAGGAGAATTAAAAATTCTTCAATATTAGCAGATATTTGAACCCGAATCTTCTGCTTGAGCAGACGTGATGCCTTATTTTGACATAATTTTCAAGAAAGTGATCATTTTGATTTTGAGACTGACATTGTAAACTCCATCTGATTATTAAAGTGGAACAACTTTTGGGCCTCATTAACATTAAAAAAAATGCATATTTTGGTTTTAAATAATTGAATGATCAAAGGATGAAATTAATTTTATTTGCGAAACGCTGAGCGTTTACTAATCAAAAAGAAAAATTTACTATATTTTCCCTAAATTCCTATGGTGAAAAATTACTCTGTTTAAATTTCAAATAGAATATATTTCAATTTTAATCACGAAAATATAATTATTGTATTATATATTTCAATGTAGGTACTCTTTTCTAAAATTCATTACGGTATCTAAAAATATTCAAATACCAGACATAATCTCCTATTTCCACTAGAAGAGAAGTGAAATTGAGGTATATTTTCTTACAAAGAGAAAATTCAACTTTCTCATTTAATTTTTTTCCCTAAAACATCACGATTTCTGTATTCTTTTCCGGCTTAACTAGATTCTAATCTAATAATAAGTTAATTTTGTTTTATTAGTCTAACTTCTTAAGCAAAGCAAAACCTCGGATTTACACTGAGCTTATCTGAAAATAATAAAAAGATAGAAATATCAGTTTAGTTTAATATATTATTTTTAAATATCTAAATATATCAAAACAAAATTTACTTACTTTTTTATTAGTAACTAGCCTCGTGTCCTGCTAAGATGTATAAATCATGGCCCTCATCAGCTGTTAATGTGCCCGTCCGAAGTAAATTGCTCTCTAACATCACGACTCTAAAATAAAATATAAATTATTTTTTTAACAGCCTTATTCATAAACGATTAAATGTATCTATAAGTTTTTATCGTGTTATGGTTTTGGTAGTCTCTACACAATAGAAGACTTCTATACAAGGATAATGCAATCAACCTTCCAAAAACAAAAAAAATTGATAACAATGCCATAAGAAATCAGAACACATAAAGAGGCTGTTTTTTCGTAATTTTTCGTTACCTACTTTTATGCCATTTACATACTGTCATAATGGACCTTTCCCGTTATTCGACAATTTCGCATTACCCATACGCGAAAAAAGCGCGGGAATATTGAACCTAGCAATTTTCTAAACAAACTAATTGTTCCCTTTCTTATCCTCGCTTACAATTTGTTTGATTAATTTAAACTATGAAGACTAGAGATAGGGAGGCGAATCGGCATACTCAAAATACGGTCCCAAAAAACGCATGTTAATTGAAGACACTGGTGTAAAAAGGAGGCAGCTCCATTTGTATAGTATTCTTCTTTTTATAGTGGATTATACTAATAAAAGGACGCTCTTTTGATTGGTGCAAGAATGAGGCAGCTCTGTTGATTTATACATGGGTCATACGTAGTGATGTGAGTTGGGTAAATACCCAGTGGGTAGGTAAATAAGTTATGGGTATTTACCAGGTATTTTTCCAAGAGATATTTACCTACCCAAAAACATAACCTAAAATAATTTAATATTTGTTGATTGTGTTATAACACATGGCAGTCGCAACAAGAATAAGTTATAAAGCACAAAGCAGGTGATATTATATATCAATACTCATAGGTCCGTATTTATAAACAGAACTCGATTTGGGTAGGTAAGTCGTTCTTGAACTAAAATCAAAGTTCGGTTACAACGTCTCTAAAGTTCCAGGTGTATATTTTTGTCCCCTATTTCAGATCGGTGCAAAAAAGACAGCTCCATAACTTACTATACCTTAACTAAATTATTTAAAAGTGTGAAATTTTGACCCATTATATTCTTTACTAAACTACATCCTGATGATTGCAAAAAAAAAAAATAAAAAAAATATTCTTAAATTTAAATTGTTTTTACTTTCTCCTGAAAAATTGATAAAAACGGAGCTACCCCCTCTTTGCACCAGTGTCTTTTCAATTGAGCTTTTATAATTAACCGCATGCGCGCTGATACTGCTTACGGTGTTCAAAATACATGGCTTTTTATGGGAATTATACACAATTTTGTCAAAAAAATAAAAATAATCTTGTTTATAGCTAAATAAATCACAGAACATACTGTTGTGTTTATTTCTAAATAAGTATTGCATGTTTAAATTGATAAAATATTTAATTTTATCTATATAAAATACAAATTAGGTAGGTATGACCAAATTCGAAAAGGTTCGTCAAATGCTGAAATTTGATAAGTACAATTGTGTAGCAAAATTTTTTTGAATTGAACCTATATATAGTTTTAAGAGTAAAATAAAACACAGTTAACAGATTTTTTATTGTAATACAAGTATAAAGGGAGATTTGGGAATGTACATGGTATTACCTCATCCTTTAATACCTTTCCCTTTTTTATTTTGCTAACTGTACCATCATTAAAAATATTCACATATCTCTACAAAGTGCTTTATCGACACTAGGAACGATATATATGCTGCCACTGTACTAAGCATTTAGTATCCTATAAAAAACATGACACAATTGGGATACAACAAAAAAAAAATAACAGTAGCAACTCTTTATCTAACATTAAAACTCTATAAAAAAAAATCTTTTCTAGTAAGTTAAATTTAATGTATAATTATTGTTGTTTGTAAGTCAGGATCTATGACTGTACAATTTTATCATATTTTATAATATAGTTTGCACTTCTACGGCAGCATTTTCTACACAGGCTTTTTAAAACGTCAGGCTCCATCGCTGCAAAGCTAAATATGTCCATGTTCTACAAGGTAAGAATGAACGATATATTTTTAATAAAATTTTACCTTTTGAAAATAGCACCCCTAAAAATGTAACTGGCATCCCTAGTGGTACTATTAAACGCAAAAACAAAATGACATTTGCGGATGTGTAATTGGAACTCAGGGTAGGAAACATAACAACAATAAATTTTGAAGATTTTAAGCGGAAGTTGAATTTGTGCAAGAGTAATAGTAACGGTAAATTTCAATTATTAAACCCATATTTATTGAAGCATTCAGATTGTGTTTTGTGTCAGGCAGATAGCTGTCGCATTGACTGCTGAATTAGAACAAACGAGATGGCTGTCAATTTGAGTGGCAATGGTTTGTGCGAATTTATTTATATGTGGTGCAATTATGGCTACGTTGCTTGCTTTTCCATGCTGCCACACAAAATAAATTGCGTACTTTCCTGGAAAGCGACTTCAACTATGATAGTTGTAACAAGAAAAAGATATTAAATTGATCATAACTGGCATTAGGAATGCAAATATAACTTCCTTAATATAATTTTGAAAGCCTTTTGTGCGTTTTGAAGCCTTATGTTAAGTCAATTCTGAATAATAACCATAAACAATTATTGTATCAAGACTCTCCCATACTGTTTCATAATAATTTGACAACTACGTAGATGACACCATAAATGTTTGCAATTTTATTTTTGTAAACATGATTAGTATAGTAGTTGTTCGTTGTTGACTCTTAACATAAAATTGTAGTTTATAAGTTAGTAAGAGTTGAATAAGTTCACTTATTGTGTATTGATACCTGCAGTCAAGCCAGGCCGAGCGTAGTTAGTAGTTGGATGGGTGACTATCTCAATGAAAGTCGGCGTACGTCCAAACAAACTGTTTGCATAGTTGCGTACCACAGAGGGCAGGCGTTGTATCAATGAATTTATGGATGTTGGGCTCGTTAAAGCTCTGGCCAGAACACTAAAGGATTCGGCTACATTTCTAGTAATTGAGGGTAGTGTGCTCACCAGCGTTGGTGTTTAAACCTCGTAGTTAGAAATTGGTTGACGTTAAATAAATTAATAAAAAAAAGATTTGAACAGTTTATTTTGTCTACGACCCACTAACGAAGGTCATTTAATAAAAAAAATAATTGGTCTTCAATTCTGGAATTGAACTCCAGGGGCCCTATTCTCGAATGTCTATTAATAATGTCGCATTCGTCATAATGTCTATCAAAATATCGATCGACTGACACTATCCCTATTCTCAAAGACAAATCGACATTTTAAAATTGATGACATATTTGGCGAATGGTAACATCTGGCAACTTTGGATTGAAACATACAAGAGAAGTATATTAAGCACATAATTACGTGAAGCATCTCTTAAGGTCTATTCTCACTATAGGTCAAGCCACGATTAAGTCACGGTCCAGTCACGGTCCGATCAAAAATGATGTCATAATTTTATTGCTTTTAAATGAGATTTCTTTTAAACCGTTCACACATGCCGGTCATCGAACAAGCAAGCCACGGTCAAGTCACGAGCCAATCATTTCCAACAATATTTGACCGGACCGTGACTGTCCGTTGACGCGCAGACCGTCTAGTGTGGATGCTAAAGACCAACTAGTCAGATTAGTTAGATTTTTTTTTAAATGGCTGCTGTAAAAAAATCATCTGAAAACGATCTTAAACATACTGAACATTTTTAAGCTTAGGAAATCAATTCCCTAAATGTGGTAACATTTTTTTGAAGTTCATCTTTAATTGTCAAAAATATGTTTTGAAATTCTTCAATATTCATTCTATAATAAATAAAAAATTTGTTTCATCATCCATAAGTTTTTCATGCAACGTAAAAAATACGCCTTCGATTTTTCTTTTTATTAGCATTGGATGTACCCAAAATCTTCTTTTTATTTTATTTTTTTTGCTGTTCTTCTTCCGCATCCAAAATAAATGCGATTTTAATTAATGAAGTTGAAAACATTTTTTTTTTACACCCACATGGATATTAGCTTATCTACACACAGATTACAAAACGAAAAAGTATACTACTGCTTTCAACTGAACGAATATATTTCATATCCATTCTAGGTAGTGAAAACATTGCAAAAAAATGAAATCCACCAATCACAGTTCATATTTTGATTAACCGACTGCTATTATTTTTAAAATTTTAAATAAGTGACAATTCTGTCAAACTAATTATCAGTATATTTTTTAGTTATTGAGATTAACCATACATTAGAATGAGTTATTCTTTTATTCTTGTGTAGAATCGATAAACAATAGAATTTATATTTTTATTTCGTCTACAATTATAAATTATTTGTTAATTTAAATAAAACTATATGAAGTCAATTTAATTACGAGTATTAAAACAAAAAAAAAAAAAAATAAACGCGTCCTGTGGTCAGGGTTCTTGCCTTCCATACGTAAGACTCGAGTTCAAATCTCAGATGAAGAAAAATGAAATTATTTTTTTTTCTTGTTTATTTTACTGTACAACTCGAGTGGATTGTCCATATCGCACTTAGACGATTTTTAAACCCTCAAATTTCATCTTCGTGCTATATGACCATCATATCCACCCTTGTTGCACAAACTACTATTAAGATCGCGGATCACGATGCTATAAGCAAAAATACTCGAAAAAAAAAACACTCATGCACAATTGCCTGCTGTACGTTGGAAAAACTGGTCGAATATGACAATGACATGACCCTATAGTGTGAATGCTTTCCAAAAGATTTTATCGTGACCGGACCGTGACTTGACCGTGCCTTGTCCGGCTAATGTGGATAGACCTTTAGTGATAGAAAATAATACTGCAAACCTATCCAAAATATATCTTTTTGATAAATACTAATTAGAAAGTAAAGAAAATATAGTATAATCTATTTAACTAAAGTTTCATAAGGAAGTGCAATTTGGTAAAATATTAAATTTGGGAATGTCTAATTATCATATATTTTTTTTAACTTAAATTCAGCCTCAATAACTAACTACAAACATATGACTATATAAAATCACGTAAGTCAATAATGAAGCCTAAAGATATTAGAAATGATTGTGTACATGCACATTATTCCCACTATACGCAGAAATAAAAAGAAGAAGAAATATATTGTCATAATATATTTTACCTGCAATTTGAAAAAATAGAGCTTTATAAATTTCTAAATGACAGGAATTAAATCTCTTGGGCATACAATGAAATTGTAAATTATCAATTTGAATATTACTAAAAATAATTTATTAAATAAGCATTTTCCACTTATTTTCTTCTTTTTCATATCGATAAACATGGACACAAATAATATACTCAGTGCACACTGCCTGTGCCAGTGAAAAAAGCTATTACTTTAATTTCTCTTAAAAATAAACTGTCACTGTCACAATACTCACAACATACATAACATAACCCTTAAAAAGGTATGTGACATTACAATGTCGACTGTATGACTCGACTTATGTCTAATAACAAATGTCGAATTCACCATTCGAGAATACGTTTTTGCGTTCTAATTCGACATTTCATCAATGTCGCGTGCGACATTTAGAAATAGACATTCGAGAATAGGGCCCCAGACCCTTCACATGGCAAATCAATACTCTACCTCTCCGCTAAAGAGGCAATTAATTGTTTTTTTATACCTATAAATTAAATTGGTTTTAGATAGTTTTATTAAAATTTGCGATTTATTTTCAAATGTAGACGAAATATAAAACTATCTTTAATGTGTGCGAATGGCCGAGAGGTCATTAAAATTCAGGCTCCAATGGAAATCGAACCTGGATCCGAAAGTAAAGACCCTAATGGCTAAGGTATATTTTATATGTTTATTTTTTTATTGTATATTATTTTTTTTTTCTATAATGGGGTTTTCCCGTAAAATAAATAAATAAAATAAATAAGGTACTGTTCTACCTGTATTTGTATTTTGTAAAAATGTAGGACAATATGAATCGTTTTCTTTTTTTTTTTTTTTTTTTTTTTTTTTTTTTTTTTTTTTTTTACTGTGCTATCACTATTCTCAGCTCAGTACTCCAAGGTATCAAATATCATGGCATTTCAGCACTCAAGGCCAACATTTTGGAATATGAAATAGTTACAAGACTATTTACTATTTGTCATCTCTTATCTTGTTCACTTATGTAACTTGTTTTTGAAGAATAAACATAAATTTATAAGTAAAAAAAAACACTTTCACACATAATTTTAAAACAACTCACTTATCTGATCCTAGAAGTTTGTACGTTCTTGCTGTATCAGAAATTTCTTGTGTAATTTCGCCATTTTTTAAAGATCTACCTTGCATTCCGTTCTTGTGAAACGCCAATACACTATCCGGAAGACAAACTAAAAAAAAAATATGACATTTTTTATAGATTTACAAACATTTTGAGCTAAATAGGACTTACTTATACTTTCGATCTTAAATCCGAATCGCAATTCGTTAACTTGCTTCTTGTTATTTTTCAGTTTTCCTTGCGGATTCACTATTCTAATTAGATTATCGTAACACACTAAAATTGAGTCTTTATCTAACTGAGTCACATTCACTATGTCCAAGTTCTCCCTGCGAGGAATTACAGTGGCAGTGCCGTCCATATCTTGTAATTCGTCCGAATGGAACCAACTAGCACCTAAAATTTTAATAAACAATCATGTGTAATATCTAAGACAAATAACTAGAGTTACACCCAGTTGCAAAAACGCTAATGATTTCATAACTTTATTGGACTGCGTAATTTGAAGATATATTATCACATTCTCAATCTTTGTCGAAGTTTATTGGGCTCAAAAAATTTAATGAACGTTGTTGCAACCAGCTGTTGGAATGTTCATTAACTGTTGATAAATGAGTCATTGATGAGATAATTTTGTAAATCTACCAGTCGAGCAGTAGTAAAAAATATTGAAAATATTTGCCACATTTTTTTGTTTGGGTAGTTAAATTTTAGAAAGAAAATCGGGTATTTAAAATTTAAAGTGTTTTGTATATGTATATGCATTACTGTAAGATTTGTTTCATAAGCTTAAAATATATTTAATCCTTTCCAAGTTATAGTAATGAAGGGAGAAAATGAGGGGGAGATGAATTTGAGAGTAATGATCACATTAATGGTTAGAAGTAAACAAATACAAGTCTATCAGGTTCCTAATTATTAGTGTTGGATCACAGGTCACAGTCAATAATAACCATCTCAGTATTGTACAGTGATGCCCCATATCATGCAGTTCCAAAAGTTTTAAAATTTGAAAACTACTACTTTACATTTTTTTCTGTAATGTAAATGGAATACTCTTTATATTTTGTCACGCTTAAATTCTTGATTCTAGTTCAAATTTACAATGATTTTTCAGCTATTTGAAATTAATATTTTTGTAAAATATATTCGATGATTTGAATTATTTATAAATACGTTTGTACACATGAAATGTGGGCTTTCTTTGAACTATACACAAAAGTGTTCCATTCAAAAATCTATAATAATTGTTTTAATTAGATGTAATGCCAACTGATAGGTTTACAAAAAGTGAATTTGAATTATCAATGAAAAAAAGGTTATCAATTTTCACACAACAAAATTGTAAAATTTTAGTTAACACTTCAAAAAAATTAAATCCTAAATTAAAATAATTTCAAAATATTATATCCTTCAATAAGCCGATAAAAACTTAAATTTTACTCAGGAACCTAATTAATAATGAAATCGTATTAGTGTGAGAGCCTGCGACCGCCAGACCTACATTATAGGTTACATTTTTTTTAGATGTGTACATATTACAGTAGATAGTAACGTTTGGGTATTATGAATCTTGACTTCAGGTGGGTTTGGTAGATAACAAGTCCTCAAGGTACCAGAAAAATGTCGGACAAAAACGTTTTCCATACTATTGTAAAAATTTTAGGTTTCAGACCATGCAGAACTTTTCATGGAGAATAACTTTTTTTTCGTTAATTTAGTAATAAGAAAGTATCCCATATGCTGCGAACTTAGTGTACACACTGAATATTAAAAAAAATCGAACCATATACGAAAGGGTAAAAAAATATGAATTTACCTAAAGAGCCTTATTTTTAAAAACAGAAAAATGTTACTTGTCTTCTTCTTCATTTATTGGGCTATATCCCACAGAATAATTTACCCAGCCAACAACGGGGAGAGTATCCTAGTCTTGCTCTCAGCAATTGGATACCCTCTATTAAATTGATATATTTATATATTTCAAAGTAAAAAGCTTATTAATGTTACTACTTGAGTTATATACGTAGAGGGGCATACAAAGTTAGTACTTAGACGTCACAACACAGGATAAAAACTTTTCTCGCCTGGGGGCAGTCGCCAAGCTGAACACAACCAGAAAACTGCCAACGGTAAATAGAAGGAGCACCCAGGACTGAAAGAGAGGATACAGTGTTAGGGTTATAATTGAATTTTAAATATATTTAAAAATTTGATTAGAATGTTTAATCTGCTATTATTGAGGTTAGCCAACATAAAACAAATGTCAAAGGGAGTAGAAAGCTTAGTTTTTGCCAGTTCAGAGTATAAATCAAAGTTTGCCATCATATTTATGGGACATTCAAAGATAATGTGGTTTAATGAGCCAATCTGACCACACTCACAAAATGGATCATCTTTTACTCCTATACGAAATAAGTAATATCGCGATAGGTAATGCCCTGTCCTCATCCTAATTATTGTAGTTAAATGTCTTCTGTCCTCTTAGGGAACATTTAAAAACCAAGGGATTTTATCAAATCGTGGAACGACTTTAGAATAAAAAGAATTCTTCATACTCTTGAGGCTATTCCATTCTTCAAGCCATCTTGAATTCAAAATTTTTCTGATGAATGGAAAGAAATTATGATAGTTTAATTTGATATTCACTGGAATATTCAGAGATCTTCCTGTATTTGCCAATTGATCTGCCTTGAAGTTACCCAGAATCCCAGAGTGGCCTGGAATCCATGCCAGAATTATTTTGATATGTTCATCTTTTGCGAGTAAGATACCGACCTTAGTCAAGAAGGAACAATGTTCAGTTTTCCTGGAAGAGCATGATCTTGCTATTTTTTGAAGTGCAGCTTTGGAGTCTGAGAGGATAATTAATTGAACGATGTTTTTGTCTAATATTACTTGCAAGGCCTTGTTGATAGCTACAACTTCAGCTGTACAAATTTGAGTATGGAAAGGAAGCTTACTTGAGAATGCATAATCTATATCTAGACTATACACTCCAAACCCTGAGTGACCGGAAGAGTCTATTGAGCCATCGGTAAAGAACCTGGTGTAAGATGGATATTTCCTGATGATATTCTGATATTGTACAATTCCAATACTTTCAGATTTCGTAGCGCCAATGTTAATGATAGGAATGGAGGCTAATTGGGGTTGGAAATCAAATTTATAACATGGTAAAAGCTCTGAAGTATATAAGTGAGGATTCACGACATCGAATTGACTGATGAGCTGAATTATTAGAGGATTACTTTTGTTGTTCCAGTAGGTAGAGACCCCACATAATCTTTCTAGTTTTCTTAAAGCAGTGATAATGGGATTATTTACCAGACATATTTTTAATTAGGTACTTAAGGGATAGCCATTCTCTTCTAAATCTAAGGGGTATTTCACCTGTCTCTGTCAATAAGGCTAGAATTGGGGTAGATTTCATACACCCTGTGATGGTACGAAGGCTTTGGTTCTGAAGTGTATCTAACTTCTTTTGTATATCCTGGCAACACGGCATTATAATTTGACATCCATAGTCAAAGTGGGACAAAATGATTGATTTATGTAAAATTCTTAATATTTGTGGGTCACATCCCCACCAAGTCCCACAGAGAGCCCGCATGACATTGAGGTGAGAATTCCATTTAAGATTCTTATGAATGCTTATCCCCAGATATTTAACTTTATCCTTCCATTGAATGATTTGAGATTTATAGATAATATTAGATAAAGTAATTTTAGTTACCCCTTTAGTGAATAAAATTGCCGAAGTTTTATGCAATGAAAGATTAAGGTTAAGTTTTTCCAACCAGGACTCTAATTTAAACAAAAAGGAGTTGATAAGTGGAATCATATTGTAAACATTCGATCCATTAACCAGTATTACCAGATCATCAGCATATTGAATTAATTTAAAATTATTAGGCAGAATATCAAATAGAGACAAGGTATAAAGGGTTAAACAAAATGGGACTGAGCGAAGAACCTTGAGGAAGGTCTTGATTAGTAGATTGAGGACCAAGGGTTTGGCCCAAAAAAATTGTTTAAAATCTTTATTTATCAGCAAATATGAAAAATCTCAACCAACATCTAAAAAATTATGGTTGGATTCTAACAAAAAATCTTTACTCTTTAGCCAAATTCATATTTTCTGAGCTCCCATTTAATATGTATGAGGTTTGAACTGGGTTTTAGGTACTAACTTTTATCAAAAATAAACTTTTCTGAGAAACGAACAATCAAAAAATTGTCTATAAGGTGCAGACGTTATTCAACACACTATATACAAAAATGACCTTTATGATACAATTTTTTTTTTATTTCTTATTGACTTCGCAAACATAACTAATATTCTCACTAAGAATTATGTGCACGAATGATGCTCTTTTGCTCGTAGTCTCACGTCTGACTTTTTACAGTTAGACCCGTCAGATGTGTCAGGATGTTCGTATTTGCTGATAGATAATGATTTTAAACAAGATTTTCGAGTGAAATTTACCGGTTTTAAAAAATAAGGGTCCTTTACTCTTGATCTAAATTCATATTTTTTTACTTCCCTCGTATATGGATCAAATTTTTTAATATGTTTCAAGTTTGTAACGGGTTTTAGGTCATGTACTAACTTTTAATCAAGAATAACATTTTCTATAATGGTGCAAACTAAACCATTTGTCCCTAAATGTTAATAAATGTGCTACAATCCACTTCACAAAATCTCCCAACCCTACTCTGAACTTTTACAAGGTCGATAATGTGACATTAAAAAATTCCTCTTCAGTAAACGATCTCGGCATCATCTTTGACACAAGTTTATCCTTTAACCTGCATATCGAATCTATTGTGTGCAAAGCTTTTAGAATGCTTGGTTTTAGTAAACGTCACTCACATCACATAAACGACACCAAGGCTATTACATCCCTATACAACTGTTTAGTCAGAAGAATCCTAGAATACTGTTATGTAATCTGGCTACCCAATTACACGTGTCACATAAATAGGATAGAAAGGGTACAGCGCAAGTTTGTTAAATATATTCTATTCAAATTTCGATTTCCATATCAAGATATCTGCTATGAAACGAGAATAATGCTTTACAGTCTACACAGCCTAGAAGATAGAAGGAAACAATCTCTTGTTCTATTCCTTTTTAAGCTGTTGAATGGGACGATGTGTTGTTATTCCGTATTAAAGCAAATCAACTTTTTGGTGTCTACACGGCGGACACGACACACTTCTCTATTTCAAGTAAGAAGACATGGACCAACTATGGACAGAACGCTCTTATTGATCGACTTTAGCAAAATTATAATAAACTTTTTTTGATTGTGATATTTTTAATATTAACGTTCTTACTCTAAAAAGAACACTTAAATTCGGTGGTGTCTAACATATTTATTTATTTATTTATTGTAATTATTACTTTATGTTTTAGTGAAATATTGTATGTTTAGTTTATGAGTGTTTTATACAATTTTACCTTTTCACATTTTTTTTATACTACATGGAATTTATTTTCTGTAATGTATTATTGAAATAAATAAATATATAATGTGCACACTTTTTTGACACCTTTAAAGCGTCTCACAGTGACTGAAATTTCAAAATTCTTAATTGTATTTATTGTATTAAAGTAACAACAAATAAGTACAATTATTAACTAAGTATATTAATATAACAATTTTTTAATATCTGTATAAAAAATATTTTTTTTCACATAGATTATTAAATTAAAAAAATAACTATTAAAACACGAAATGTTAATTTTTTCTCTTTTACAACACAAAATATACAATACTGTTGAATCAAAATTTTCTCTTGATAGCAGGTGGTTTTTCGTGACGCGACAATTATGATGCTTAGCTGAATTAAAGCTAATTCACTTTCAATCTTAAGGTGTATTTTGGTAAAGTTTTCCGAAAAATATGCCACTGTGCGTCTGGCAGACGTAACCCCCCCGCGAAAAGTGCCCGACATTTTATGGTACCTCTAGGACCTGTTACCTACCAAACCCAATCCGTTTAAAAATTACATTTTTTTGCAATTGTTTAAACAATTTCGTTTAAAACAATGTTTAGCATATTTTAAAAACTTTGAGAAAAAATTGCTTCGAAACAGTTTTATCTAATAAAAATAAAAAAAGTAATATGTGTAGAGTGTAATAATTTATAGTTGTCTTAATGGTGTTAAAAATTCTCCAGTATCTAAAAATTGTCACTCTTCAAAGATTAAGTAATGAATTTAGAAGGTTAATGTTAAAGTAATGTAAAAATGATTTAAAAATAAAATTTAACAAGCATTAACTACTTAAACAAGTTTCAGTTGTTTCTGTTTATATTATGGAGTTTGCAAATACATAAAAAAATCATAGATAGGAACAATTTGTTATTTTTTTGCAACAAAGGAAAGCAGCATTACTTATATACCTGGACACATTTTCAACCACGGCGACTTATGGATACACCTATTTTGCCAAACGTAGAAAGTGTTATGAACAACTAAAATTTACAAAAAAATGTAGAGGTAAAACGGACTGCTATAAGTTAAATATTTTAATAATTTTAAATATATTTTTCAAGATAGTGACTTAGTATAGTGTGAATATGTTTTGACACGAGGGGTAAACTACATTTTTACTCGAAATCACCGAAATAGCTAAAAATTTTCTGGAAATTTCCGAAATCATCACTAAAAATCATGGTTGTAATCACTTCGAAATGCAACAGGTGGTAGATAAAAAAAAAACAAGTGAAGAACCAAAAAAGAGGTAATTTGTCAAGAAGAAAGTTTATAGATAATTCATAGGAAATTACGCCAAAATCAATCTTATGAATTTTTGGTGATTTATGAAATACGGGTATGTTTTGACCTTAGTGGTTTACTTATTTAATGTTAAAAATACCTTCAGTTTCTACAAATCTCTGCTTTTTTAAATGTGGTCGTAGATGTCATATTTGTGTGAAACATATTTTTACTCACTAGTATCATAAATAAATATATATTACAGATCTTCTGTACTTCTAAAAAAAAACTTTACAAATCGGAAACGATCATTCATAAGACCAACACAAATTCATAAGAGAATTGCCACTTATCACATAAAGTAATGGCAAGCAAAAATATAAATTACAAATATGCAATTATTCTTCGTAACAGCTATTAATACAAATTATTTTTATTATGGCCCTGCTATGATGATTCATTTTCACAAAGTTCACTTGGTCTGCAGTCTACTGTAAATATTTATATGAATGTAATTACGTATATTGTATAAATATTAATTAATAGATGCCCACCGAATAAAAAGATCAAAAAAATGACTGGTGTAGCAAGATGCACTGAAATATGAAGTCGAGAGAAAACTGACCTACTAGTATTCAATGGAAAACCTCCATCACGAGTAACCAGTGCAAACAAGTCTAACTCAGCGGTAGCTCTGCAAATTCATTCCCTAACACTAAATTTACAACCATGTACAATATTTGGGAAATATTTTCTACTAAATTGATAAAGTCAAAAAATCCATTATGACTTACCTGAATTCATATTAATCAAATCCAATTTAAATCTGTTTGGCTGATAAGCCTGTTTTATTGACACACATACAATTGGATATTCTAATTCTGGAGTAATAATCATCTCGAACACGTGAAGGGGATTTGGGAGCACACACTCGACATGCTAAAAAACAAAAAAAAAATAGCAGCATATTAAATTATCGAAAATTATTTTTGACCCAAATGCAAGATTTTCTTACCTTCAACAACATAAATTTATTTAACGGATCGTACCATTGCATCAAATAAATACCATTTGTGGTCGCCCCACATAGATATTTGTAACCATTATAAGGATTTCGAGCTACACAACATTTTAACGTTCCTCTAGTGTCAGGTACTCTTGTTGTAAGAGCAAACTTCCTTGGCACTAGTCTCTCCGGTATCCTGTTCATATGTAAACTGAATCTATGGGATTGTTTGTTTTGAAGAGCTAACAGGTCGTGCCTGTACAGTTGTGGTGTCTTTCCTAAAGGAAAATTTACAAAATGACAAAATAACAATTATAATTTCTGGATCAAACGAAGTGAGGTGATGAAAGAGGTTATTTATAATCTGAATAACCATATATGTTGTCATACGATTGATGGTTTCAAAGCTATTTGATATTTTCCATTTTTACCTCAAACTGCCGTTTGCCTGCACAAATCCGCCGTATATAGTTCTAGGAGCTGGTAGTAAAATAAACTGTCTCATAATCATCAGATGTTTGACAGTGGCAGTGTAAAGCTATAAGAATACTAAATAAAAAATCGCCCATCTGCCGGGTTGAGCTTAGGGCACAGAATTATCAAAATTTTGACAAATTGACCACATTACCAAGAAGAAATTCGCATCAAAGAAAGAGAAAATACAAATTAGATGCAAAATATGGGCATCAGTCGCGCCATGGGGCCCCATTTTTGAAACAGACAGTGTTAAAATTCAAAGAATTTATTTATTCTTGAGTCGTGGACATAATTTAAAACCTTCTACAAGACTTAGAAAACTTCTAGACTTAAGGAGTCATTAGGCAAAAATGCAAAGAGCGTTACATCATAACGAACGAGGAATAGAAAAGATCATCTCTTTTCATGGTCCTTCTAGCCATATTTTAAAGAAACGAATCCACGTCGCTTTAAGAAGACAAAACTACAATTCAAGAAAATAGAAGTCCACTTTCAACTAGGAACGGCTTCAGAAAGCAACATACATTCAAAAACAAAGTAACCTAGAGAATATAGCGAAAATAAAAAATCACCACTTTTCACAAGCTAATATAATTTTAAGAAATGGCGCGAGAGGGTATTTAAAGTATGTAAATATTGAGTTTTATTTAATAAAACTCCATAAAATAATTCGTCTGAGCGCTTTCGGCCTCTTAAGCCATTATCAAAGACTCTATAAGAGAAAAACGGAGCTGTTACAATACAATAAACTCTATCATTACTAAAAAATAGAATAAAAAACTCTGTGCACTTACTCGTCAAAAAAACTTTAGAAGACACATGAAAAAGTAAACTAAATTAATAAGGGACAGCAACTGACCAGTCCCAAGTCTCCACCATAGCTTGCAGCTTAGATAATTGAAAATTAAAAAATCACACCGAAATTCGGTACCTGACCCAGTGTAAAATGTGGTTAGATTTTAACAAATGAAGTGGAGGTTCATCCGACCATGTAGAAGAACTAAACACTCCGGATACTACGGAGAACAAGAAACTGCTAGTCTTCCACACTCCAATTTTAATATAATTTTCTTTAGAACAATTTAAAAAAAAAAAAACTAAATTGTCAGATATACGATTCCCCAGATATGGCTGGACGCCACCTGTAATGCCTCAACAAAAGGATCGAGAAAAAATGTGTTTGTTTAGCTTATCTTTTTTTTTGTACACTTAAAATTTGTGTACCCTTCCAATAAAAATATCTTCTTAAAATTAGTTTTTTTTTAAATAATAATTTATTAATTGAATTTATTGAATACTTTAAATATCTGCTGAAATATTAACAAATGGATAACAACATACCTATAGTTTTTTTTTATAGCAAATAACCTCCTCGGTTTCCACCACTTTGGTTTGTTCCATGACTTATGGGACACTCTGTATAAAACTTGAACGTTACCCCCTTAATTTTATCAAAAACAAATAATGCGACTAAAAACTACAAATAAACTACAAATAAACGAAACTATTTTCAAATTTAATTTGTTATTAAAAATCTAGGCAGTACTTAAAAACAAGCAATAACTTGATAAGATTATTTAAATATAAAATTTTTTTTTTTATTATGCTAAAAGTAATCATGATCTGTTGTTTTAAGACCTCTATATACAGATTCAGCTTAAATGTTTCTTGGGTATTGCCGATTAACAGGAGGAACTGCGATAGCTTTATAAAACGAACAAGCCTTAAATCCCACTCCGTTTGCGTGTTGGAATCGATGGATGAGATCGAACAGCATCATGGGAGTTGGAAACGTCTTCGTCTGTTTTCTCTCTCTCTTATTTTCGCTTCATATGAATATTCTTCTTTCTGTTACTCCTCATAGTTTTGCACTATACCCAAGGAAAATTTAGGGCGAATATGTATCATTAATATACTCTTCCTTTGTATGAATGTTGAAAAACATTTTTTCTTACCTGATAATGTCATTAAAACGTCTTTTATAACATACATCCAAACTGTGCGTCTATTATACAGTTGATCAATGCAAGTTTCGTGAAGTTCGTTTAAATTTAAATTATAAATTCCTTCTTCCGCACCGATTAGTATGTGCTGGTCTCTCGTATCCGGATTAATCCAAGATACTGTACAATTCATTCTCAAAGGACAACCATTAAATACCTAAAAACAAGTTTTTACTGAATAATTTAATTATGTTACCCAGTTACAAGAACGCTTGTTCAGTCTCTCAATAGCTAATGATCCCTTAACTTTGATGCACTTTGCATAATTTGTAGGTCATGCCATTCCGACAGATTTTAAGAAACTTTGTTACATTTTTAAAATAATTGGTTATTTGTATAAACTTTTTTTTATAAGGAATATTTATCAGAGAAATTCATTTAGATATTAAAAGTAACAAGAGTGATGTCCAAAAACGAATGGTACCAATTTTAGCCTTGAATTCTATTTAAAAATGGACAAAAATTTCCTCTTTTAGTGACCATTATTCTACGTTTGTATATATGGGAAAATTTTAAAAGCCGATTTTAATATTTCAAATAACTTTAAATAATAGTATATTACAACCGCGGGAAAGTACTTTATTACAGCAAAGCATCAAGGTAGATTGGCGAGGTGCGAACCACCGAGGTAAGCTATAGACGCGAGGCTAGAATGAGTTCCCCGAGGAATGTAAACGATTTTACAATATCCTATTATATATGTTTCTAATAATAATATTGGTATTAATTTCTATCATAATTTTATAAAAAAAAATTAACGAAGATACCTGGGAGACAGTTGCTAGGCAATGTAACAAGTTGGTTGAATCTGACAGTTAGATAATTATTTTGCCAGTTAAATATTGAATGGCGGAACATTTAATAATATAATTGTCTTTATATACTTTATATAGAAATATCGTGGGCTTATTGCAAAAAATGACCAAGTCAAATTTTATGTGATTTAGAGTTAATATGACCAAATCACTTGTTAAAGCCACATCTACTAAAAAAATTACCAAGTCATATTGATCGAGTTTATTTAGTACCTACAGGCAGTATAAATATAGGTTGGTCATTTTTGTTTTTGATAAATCTAACGTTGACAAGCGACAGTTAATTTGAATGAACTCTACCAGAACTACGAGTAGCTGCAGAAAAAGCTATCGGAGGCATGATTCAAAAAAAAAAGCAAGGAGAGATAGGAAAACACGAAGCATATTATAGTAGGTAAATGACATTTGCTGGTAAGGAAGTGACACATGCTAACCAGGAAAGTTACTTTTCTGGCTAGCTGGAAGTAAGCAATACTTCGTTCGCAACAGTTTTGAAGGGTACAAATGCACAGATTACTAACCGATTGTGAATAAAAATTATGTAATTAAACAATTGCTATATTGTACTGTAATAGGAGCACAAAACTTATAATACTTTTCCAAAGGGGAAAAATCTATGTTTTAATATCGACATCCCCATCGAAGAAGGTTGTAACTTAATTTTGGTGATTTTCAGGAGCATCAGAAAACTAAAAATATTTGTTTTTAAACATTTGTGGAGAAACTGTATAATACTATAATAGTTAACAAATAGGATGATTAAAATACAGCGGAGATTACTTATGAATATTTAAATGTTATAAATATAAGTTGAGTTTGACTGGGAAACAACCTTGACAATAGACCTCTTTCGTTATTGATGGTTTCTATTACTCATGCGCAAATTCTGCTTCTGCTTAAAATCATCAAAATTTATTATTAGTTCCAATTACACATCGGCAAATGTCATTTTGTTTTTTTTTTGTTGGATAGTAACACTTTTATTTGTGCTATTTGCAAAAGGTAAAATTTTATTACAAATATATCCTTCAATCTACAAGTCGTTGTAGAACATGGAAATAGTTTGCTGAACAGCGATAGTGCCCTCGAAGATGATATTTAAGAAAAAGGCTGTGTAGAAAATGCTGTCATACAAGTGCAAACTTGAAACTTTCAGATATTATTTACATCTAAAATTAGTAGAAAAAACTTTCTTGAAATTCGGCTCAAAGTACCTTCTTGCTTGCTGACAGGGTATTTCACATCTAGATTGATTGCAACAAAGTATTTCCATCTTCTACAGGGCAAGAATTAACGATACATTTATAATTTAGCCTTTTGCAAATGTGTACTAAAAAGTTTCATGCTCCCTATTATATATAATTGATGACATGCGATAATCGTCGTAGTCAACATAACAGTTGTAAGGCGAGAATAAGATAGAGATAGCAAAAAGTGTTTGAAAAATTACTAAATTCAAAAGTCCCGCGCTTTTTTCGCAAATAAGTAATGCAAAATTGTCGAATAATGGGAAAGGTGGATTAACCTAACACTTTACACAGAATAAGGCAATAAGTAAGATATAACTATGGTACAATAAATAATACGTATATTTTTTATTGCTACATTAAAAAAATATGCAAACAAGAAGGCCATAACTAATTTTAGAATCTTTTAATATGCTACATATTATTCGAAACTACAAAATTTGACGTAGGTAAAAAATAGAAATAGCTGTGATATTTTTAACATGAACGTTAAACTAATCAAATTCATTAAAAATCACATTGTTGTTTCATTAACACTGCTTCACACATGTTTTCCCAGATGTTTAAGGTGGTATCATTATTTAAAAAAGACGATCAGGACAGTCCTACCAGCTACCGACCAATATCTCTTCTTCCAATAATATCCAAAGTTGTAGAAAAATGCATGTCAATACAGATTGTCAGTTTTTTTGACAATGATGGTCTTTTTAATAGCTGCCAATTTGGTTTTAGGCAAAATAAATACACTTCCATGGGTATTCTTCATCTAGTACAAAGCATATTGGACACTTTCCATAACTATCAATATAACACGGTCCTGTTTTGTGATTTAAGTAAGGCCTTCGATTGTGTAGATCATGGAATCCTCTTAGAGAAAATGAGATGTTACAACTTTTGTCCAAATAGTATCAACCTTCTACAGTCATACCTTGAGGGTAGGCGTCAGTGTGTGCGCTATGCTGGTGTAACATCGGCGAAGGGATAAATAAGTATTGGGGTACCCCAAGGGCTCGATTTTGGGGCCCATACTTTTTCTAATATACATAAATGATTTACCATTTATTGACCAACAGTCGAAGTACACTCTTTTGCCGATGATACAACAGTGTCTGTATGTGCTGAAGCATTAGAGGCTTCTCTAGAGGGTTCTATGGTTGTGCAGGAGTTGGCCCAAAACTGGATCAACTCTAATAAACTACTTCTAAATATTGAAAAAATAACAAAGTTGGTCTTTTCAATGAAAGAGTTCTATCAGACAAATTCCCAACATAAATAGTGCCAGATTTCTTGGAGTGACCATTGACCCTAAATTGAAATGGAGCGTACACAGCAACACGGTAGCTTCAAGGTTAGCTAGTGATCTTTTTCTTCTCAGAAACCTACCTAATAAGGTTTCACAACCTGTATTAATAACAGCCTACTTTGCAACTTCCCATGCTCACTTTGCATATGCAATCACTGCCTGAGGTCATGAAGCTGATACTCGACGTGTTTTTGAATGCAGAGAAAAGCAGTAAGGGTATTGAGTGGTTTGGATTTCAGGGAGGACTGTAGGATGGCTTTCAGAAATCTTGGAATATTGATGGTTCCTTCTTTTTATATCTTGGAGAACCTGCTATACATTAAGAAAAATCCAGATGTCTTTGTGATGCATCGTAGCATACATAATTATGAAACCAGGGGCTGGGATGCTTTGGTGCCTATCTATTGGCGTCTGGGGAGGTGTCAGGATGGCCCGGGTCATTGGGCTATTAAATTTTTTAACAGATTTGACAATATTAACTTAAAAAAAAAAACAATTAAACAGATCTTAATTAGAAATTGTTTTTATTCTTTAGAGGAACTTCTCCATTTTGACTTTAATGTGCAATGTGTACATGAAACTATTGCTTCTAATCTATGTGTACATATTGCTTTAATACATTTATTTGTAATTAGATATTTTTATATTTTTTAGATTTTTATCTTAGCATCTTATGTATATTCTCTGCATTTCGGTACTCCTAGATTTAATTTTATCTGACTTATGTAAGTTGCATTCTGTATCAATAACAAGTTATTGCCTTTTTAAGGCTGAAATGATGCAAATACAACTTCTTTCAAACAAGTATCGGCCAAGAAACTGCGAATTGAGATAAACGTTTTTTATACTGATGGATTCGCCTCATTTTGCTGAATACTCCTGTGGCTGGATTAAAAAAGGACGTATCGTGAGTTACATGGGGATGTCGATATTAAATAGGATTTTTCTTACCTTAGAGAAACATGCACCCATATGGACTTTAGGAGTGGGAGGTAAACCATTACTAGGAGGTCTTGGAGGCGTATGTCGCCTCCTATGCTTTCTGGGTGGTACTGGCGGACAAGTTACCATATCGTTGGAGCCTGCTTCATGATTGGCATCGTCGCCTGTTCCTAAAACAAAAATAAATATCTCAATGGTGCTCGTGCTTAAAATTATGGAGAGAGAAATATTGAGAGAAAAGTTTCACTTTCTACTACCGCATAAAAATTCGTATTCTTGAAATCAAATACACCAAAATGGGTAGAGAATTTACTCTAAAAAATTTCTCCTACTTTAAGTAGAAAAAAAAAAAATGGAAATAACTATAGAATTTAATTCACATGCATGCCCAGCAAAATATATCGATGACCTCATATGTGTTGTTAATGATTTTTTAGAGGTAAAGTTTACAAAGCAAGTCAGCATGCAATACACTATTAAAAGCTTTTTTTTATATCCATGAAGACTACTGCCGATTTATATCCTTGTATGCTGTTAATTGTTAAAAGAGGGTAAATTGTAGAACATTTGCTTTTAATTCCAAATGGATATATTGAAATTACTTATGGCATTTTTTAATATATTTTTTTTTTAAATTCCATATAGATAATAAATTTTAAAAATCAAATAATAAAAATGCTTACCGTTAACCTCCCTATCTCTGTTCTCCCGATTGCTTCTACCAGTTCTGCTGCTGTCGCTCAAAGACCTCTGTCGCTGGCCGGTCAAGTTCATGGATGTGACTAATCCGAAAATTTCGTCTACGGAGGAATGTCGTCTCGGTGAACCATTAAAAGGTTGCTCTTTCGAATGATTGGATGGACTGGCGTGGATGTCGCATTTTACCGCATTTTCTGGATCTTGTACGGGTAAAGTCGCTCTAAAAAATAATTTTCATATATTCCGGAATAAAGTTTGCTAATTTTGATGCGGTGGATTATTCACTAACTTGCATTTCTATAGACGGCTCTTTATCAGTTCACAAGGTTGGGATAAATATTACACGTTTTTTTAAAGGCTAACTAGAATAATTGTTAATCAACTTTCTTCTAGAAATAATTATATATGTTTATGATCAATTTAGCGAATGTATGTTGGTTGTTCTTTTTTTATTTTATTGTTTCAAAGTAAGACAGGCGATGAAAAAAAAAATAGAATCATGCAGTGTATAGAAACACACGTTTAAGCACAAATTTATTAGGTAGTTGATAAAGAAAAGTCTGTTTACTTGAATAATTGTTATACACTTTTTAATATACACTTAGAAAAAGTGAAAAAATAAATATTTTTTAAAATGAACCATCTTTATTGTTCTTATTCTTATTAAAAAAAAATCATGATTTTTGTATTTTTTAATTTTATTACATACAATTTTTAGTCAAATGTAATATTTCTTGGGCATTCTGGTAAAATCACCAAGTCCAAATTAGCAGTTTAGAGAACTAATGGAGGGAGTTCAATTTTTTATTTTGGCCAACAGAGCGGGGATATTATAAATCTTACATAAGATAAAAATATTAAATATAATTTTTTCTTTTAAATTTAAATTTTGTGAAACAACAGTGGATATGAAGGCCATATTAAAAAAAAGATTTAATTCAATTAGTCTCCACCTAGAATTGAACCACCCAGGACATCTGCATGAAAGCCAGATGCCCTAGCCTTTGCTCCATCGCTATACATAACAATTTAGTTTTAATACTAGTAATTAAATTGATTTCATATAGTTTTATTAAAATTTATGGTTTATTTGTAAATGTAAACGAAATAAAATAAAAATGCTATTATTTATCGATTGTACATAAGAATAATTCATTATAATGTATATTTGATCTCAATAATTAAAAAATATACTGACAATTAGTTTGACTGAATTGTCACTTATCTAAAATTTTAAAAAATAATAGTAGCCGGGTGATCAAAATATGAATTGTGATTGGTGGATATGAAATATATTCGTTCAGTTAAACACAATGGCATACTTTTTCGTTTTGTAGTCCGTACGTAGGTAGAATAGCTAATATCCATGTGGGTGTAGAAAAAATTATTGTCTTATCATTTGGGGAAACTCGCGATTTTTTTATTTTTGATATACAGGGAGGGTGGGGTTCTAAAATCATTGAAAGTTTGCTTACGTAATAATTAAACGCCACCTGACGTCTTTAGCATTTTTTTAAACAGCACACCCCCATTTTTTATTCTATGTGGTAATGTAATAAGTAACCTTTAAGGAAATTTTTGAAAAAAATAATTGACATTGTATAAAAATGTTCTGATAGTTCTGATTTCCAATTTTAATAAAAACTGAGAATTTTAAGAGATGAAGGTTTTATGAGCTATACAGGATTACTATGAGACTATGGCCACGTTAAAATCTTTTATTTATTAATTTAGTGATTTAGAACAAATATGCTAGACATAATTTTGAATTCACCTTATAGTTAAACAAAATGGCCGACTTCCTGTTTTACCGAAAATTATATTTTTATTTTTTAAATAGATCACCCATTATGTTTTATGGTTTTTTTGTGGAAGGTTAATAACTGAAAAAAATGGTGCATGACGCATACGGTCTGATTGGTAATCAACTTTACCATCTAATGACGAAGTGGCCCTCAATAGGTGCCATTTAAAAAAGTGACAGTTTGATAAAACAGACGATTTATTTTTAACTCAATTGGTAAAATAGCTTTTGTTTCGCGTTATTTGAGGCTATTAGAACATTATTTTCCAGTTCATTGGCGTTGTAACTCGAAAAGCTTTTTAAAAAAAAAGTTTGGTAAAAATTAAAATTTGGCAACGCTGTCATATGTAAAATATATAACCAGTAGGCCATTTTGTTTAAGTACAAATTTTAATCCGAAATTTTGTCTAGTAGATTTTTCCCTTATTTGATTCAAATCGCTTCATAAAAAAGAGATTATCGTTGCCCTGTTTCCGTATATTTGAAGTATATTAACACTTTCGCTGCCCATGACGTTCATTAACGTCATGATAGTTCTTTCCCCAATGCCCATGACGTTTTGTAACGTCATTTGAAGATGTATGCTACGATGAATGTAGACAAGCCGCCATGAAGTGAATTGTCTTTATAACCCCGTAGGCATGTGAAAGCGTTCTTAAATTAGTGCATTATGAATTTGGTTTTGATATTATGTTTGTGAATTTAACATAGCAAGGCTTTAACAGGTTCTAATTAAATGATGTACCTAATTGGTCGATATTTCAATTTGTGGTATAGACATGCAAACAAGTCTTTAATAAAAGTTATATGGATTTGAAAAACACATAATATAAAAATATTTTTGGATATACAGTGTGTTACGCTTTTGCTTGGAAAGTAAAAATATATATTTGTTAAATGGAATGTATTGTATCTCAATTTTAGAATTCTTAGGTAATACTGTATTGAACCCTAGAATATTTTTAAAAAGTATTACATGCTTGCCAAGCAATTAATTTTTTGTGATATAAAAGGATACAGACCCCAAATAAAATTATCAGAATTTAAGTAGCTTATTAGTGAGTTGAACATTATTTAAAATACAGGCTTATAAGATACCACAAACTAACGAATAGACATGATAGAACTAGTTTATTTTATACGGAGGGTTTTGAAACATCTCATAAATAAGGTTTATTTTAACTTCCTTTTACTTGATTTGAATGCAACACCCTGTATATAGTTTTAGCATTAAATTCAATATAAATTTATCTATCCAACGATACCATCATGTTAGCCTATTATACATATACAGGGTGTCTCATCAGTGCGTAATTGATCGATAGCTTTTTTATTATTGAAGATACGAAGACATTTTTAAGTTGTGCGACCATATTTTAAAATTATTCTTAAGTATACTGGAAAGTTCATAAATGAGTGGTGGAAAAACTATACTATATTTTAAAATAAAACCTCCTTGTCTTGTATAACAAATTTATTTTTTTCCACATCGTCAAAAATTTTTAATAGACTTAACGATTCAAAAAATGTTTTGACTTTCCATTCATTTGCTACGTTGTATATAGGGTGTGTCAAAACACAAGATTACGATTTTCAATTTTTTTTTATTTTCTAATGGAATACCCTGTAATTAACTAATAATTTAGTTTCTTTACTTTTTAATTTGTTTGGCATTCTTAAGCCTAAACTGATTTTTAAATTTTATTTATAATGGTTCATATTACTTGTAACTTCGAAGGAATAGAAAACCATTCATTAATTCTGACAAATGGGTTGCCAAAAATTACATTAGCATTTTACCCTAAATAAGTCTATATTTTCAAAGGCCAATTAAAAAAATGTGAAAAAATTATGTCAATTTTCATGGTAAAACCATCAAAATCTTGAGGAAAAATTCGTTTGGGAATAGAATGCCAAACAAAATTAAAAAACTAAAGAAATTAATTTATAAATTGATGGTATAACACACAGGATATTATATTTGAAAAAATTGAGAATATCGTAACCTCAAGTTTAGACACACCTTGTATGCATCACAGCAAATGAATGAAAATGTTAAACATTTTTAGGAACGTCTAGTCTATTAAAATTATAAAACGATGAAAACGATGTGAAAACAAACAAATCTGTAAGGTGTAATTACCTACAGGGAGTTTGGTTTAAAAAACTATATGTTTGGTTTACCTCGTATTTATAGACTACCATGTATATTTAAGAATAATTGTAAAATATGGTCTTACAACTTTTATAATAAACATTTCTTCATATCTCCAATAATATGTATATGTATAATTAAAACACTGTATAAAATGAACCAGATCTTTCATCACAGCTTGGTCCTTATAAGTTAAAAAATATTCTAGTGATAAATACAGTATTACCATGCCACTCTAAAACTGAAATAAAATACAGGGTGTTCCATTTAAAAACATGTTTTTACTTTCCAGGCAAAAGCGTAACACCCTGTATATCCAAACGTTTTTAAATTATATATTTTTTAAATCCACATAACTTTTATTCAAAAGATTGTTAATTGTACCACCATTTGGATACCCTACTTCTTTCGATTTATTAATTCCTCATTTATTCCACTATCTAGATAGGCTCCCGAGAACTTATAGTCTCGGGTCGTCCAAGTGCTTGACTACCTTTATCGATAAATGAATTTATAGGTACACCGTCAGCCAGCGGCCTGGTAATATACTTCTTTGACATCAGTACTTTTTGTGTTAACTTCTGTCCGTATTTATAATCACCCTATATATATAATAGCTATTCCCCAGAATAAATTATCAGATTTTCATTGTGTATGGCCCATGACGTTAATAAACGTCCAAACTTCTAAATGTTCGTATAACGATGGGCCAGAGCGTGTAGTTGGCGTTAAAGCTTGGGCAGCGAAAGTGATAAAAACTAATTTTTCTTAAAATAATAATTTAATAACATGACATCTCCATGCACTTATGTCTTCACCCTGTATTATTATATCAAAAAGTGCGAAATTTAAATACAAAATTGAACTTCTCTGGGAATTTTTCCAAAAAACAATACTTGCCCATTTATCGAATTTATTCCTAAATTTTGAGTCACACTGTATAAAAAAATCATGACTTTTATCAAAGATATTCAAGGTAGTTTTTTTAATAATTATTTTGAACAACTTTTGTGATTTAGTTTTTTTTTACAATAATTATTTATGACAATATCATTTTAAAACTGTTTTTTATAACAAGAGAATTTCTACTAAATTGAAGCAATCAAATAATAATTTTTTATTTGCGAGGTATACTTGGACCAGTGGTTCTTTTACTGGTGCATCATATATCTGAAATTATATAAAAAAAATCTGTGTCGCGCCATTTTTAATAAATATAAAACAGGACAATATTAGTCACTGTCATTTTAAACAAAAAGTATAGTGTCGGTCACTGAACGTTTTCCAATATTCTTTACACAAGTCCATGTGAAAACTACAGAGTTAGCATTAATGCAAACAGGACGATTAATATCAAGGTTGCCATTTATACGGCCCGACCGCGTTGTAACGTTGGCCGGGCCGTATAAACTGGCAACGCTGATATTATTCGTTTCCTGCTCACACTGTACTTTTCACATGCACTTGTGGTAAGGCGTATTGGAAAGCATTCAATAGCCGATACTATATGCTGTTGTGATGGCCGATTACACACTCAGTACACTAAAAAGAGAGTCTGATCGATTAACACTCTCCATTATAATTTGATAAAATTATAATGTAATACATTTTGTTCCAATATTTCAGACAGCCTGTGGCTACTGTTCAGTGTTACCGGAATATTTAAAGATTAGAAATGGAATATCTTATGCAATCAAAAGATAATTGTTTTATTTTATGGATTCAGGATATTCTTATTTGAAAACAGCAGTCATCTAAGTAAGATATATTGTTTTGACTAATTGTTTATGCATATTAGGTATGATGCACACGTAAAAAACCAATGCACCAACTTTATGGTTTTACAGATTTTCCTTCCACAACTCTTTGTTTACTACAAAAATATGCATGTGCAGGGGTTAGTGACCTACATGTTCAAAAATGCATTCAGGTTGTCTAATACTTCCATGTATCTACAAATAATAAAACATATCTCAAAAATTTAGTCTAATTAAAAGCAACTTAATTCCATATTATCTTAGAACCTGTAAATTTTTGTAGCTAAGACGTTCGAAGATTTGTAATACATCAAAAAAAGTAAAATCTATTCTACAAAATGTCACAACACTATCATGTTAATGAGTTAAGTGCTCAGTTATTACTAGTGAAGGTTGCTCCAGAATAATTTGAATGAATTATGTATTTCTGAGGCTTGATTTAGACAAGTGCCAAATAAATAACTGAATTTTTACAACAATATCGCAAAAATTACTATTGGAGGAAATCAGACTGTATTATTCGTTATCTACCATATAACATATTTTTAACTTATTTGTTCATAGTTGTCAGTCAGAAGAATATAAGTAATAAATAATTATCTTCACAGATACCTGACATTAGTTGAAATTAGGAAAATAAACCTGAATGCACAAAAGTTAGTTCTTTAAATATTAATCACTAAAAAGTAACGTAAAAAATAAATGCTCGAACATTTGTTTGTATTTGTCTTAAAACAAAATATATAATACTGTCCTACATCCAATTCATGAAAAAAACATTTCTATTCAAAGTTTAAATTTTGTTATAATATTCTTAATTACCGCCTAATTTAATCTTTTCAATAATCTAAAAATGTATTTACATTTACAATCAATACAAAAATTTTGATATTACTGTTCAATTTCCCTAATTAAATCATTTAAAAATACTTACATGTAAACTATTAATGAGGTTAAGTTTCAAATAGAATATAATAACAATACGTGGGCGTGAATCAACTGGAATAGACCTATCTCAATTCACATGTTTTAAATTAATACCAATCAAGAATTGCATCACAAGTGGAGGAACAATAAACAAATCGCATACCAGAGATATTTTAAGACCGAATTCGAGTTGAACTCTGCAAGCTATCTAGCCACTTAGTAGTAACCTTGCTTGTTATGTTTATTTTAATGATGTTATTAAGAACGTGTGCATATTTCGAGTTTTGGCGGTAAAAAGTATGATCCTTTTAATTGACGCTTTGTTGATTATAAATTTAAATGCCAGATATTTAAAAAAAAATGTAATTTGTAAGCAAATGTTTTTTAGGCTGTACTGTCAAACTAACTCTAAAAAACTACCCCTAACTTTAATAATTCACATGGCACCTCCCTACATTTTTCTAGTCACTTTTGAAGTACCTACTGTTAATTCTAAGTTCAACAATAGATCTGTCCCAGCAGCAGTTTGATACGGTTTATAACCATCACAAGTACACCCAAGGCAGTATTGAACGTAGTTCCACAAGGTCTCATATTGGGACCACTTTTATTTAATGTATATTTCAGATCTCCAGTTCCTGTTGGGCTTAAAATTTTCGGCGTGTGCTGACGATACGAAAATATATAACAATGCTGTGAAGTATGATGAACTCCCAGAAGAACTCAATTAAATATTTTATTGGTCAGAAAAGTGGTTACTACCTACAAACGTCGAAAAGTGTGCTGCATTGCATGTAAATAAAAGTAATTCTCATTTCGATGTTGGTATACAGCAATGTAAACAAGCAAACCGAATTGTGTATTTGCCTAGTAAAGTGTTTCAGTCGCCAATATTAAAACAATTTTAAAATTTTATAAGACATGTGCGTCAAATATTAGAGTTTGTTAATTGGATTTGGTGTCCAACGTTGTAGATATTTAATATGTTAGAACACGTTCAACGTGGTGTTACACGAATTCCTTTCGGTAGAGTGCTGCCCTCATACGAAGAAAATCTTTTGAAATGTTTAGTATTCCATCCTTAACAGTTTATAACACATTTCAACTGTCTATCTGATGATTATGTACTGCCCTTACCCAGACGATTGTCTAAGAAGGCATCTTCAGAAATTTAGGAGAGAAAATTTGCAGGACTACTGTGAGATTGAACCTTCTTTCAAATAGGATCTTTCATAACTGGAACTGGTTACTAAAACACGTTGTTATGGCACATTCCATTAACGCTTTTAAAAATAGAAATGACGCTCTCTAAATTTACTATATACTTTTATTTATTTTTGTTGTATCTTGTTATTGTCTTTAATATTTTTATTTGATTTATATTTTGATATTATTAATTACTCTAAATCTAAAGAGTAAAATAGAATTTTAATCCACTGCTCCAATTTTAAATAATAACATTAATTGGTGCTATTAGAACTTATTTTTCCTGTCTGCTAGGTGGTTATAATGTAAATTGATATAACTGGCACCAGCGCATTCGATGTGCTGTGCTATGTATAGAACTTGGAATAGCGGCATACCTCTTGGTTGCATTAAGTCGATCTTTAGAGATAGTTTGACAGAAATTAGCTGGCAGTATAGCCTAAAAGCTGGTTACAAATAATGTCTAATTTTTTCAAAACGATTTAATGGAATAATTATTGAATGCAGATCACCTTAACCAAGGATTGCACAGGGTGTCAATTTGAAAACTTCCCACCCATAATATCTCCTTTCCATTAAATAATATGAAAAATTGACACGTCACTTTTATTTTCAAGGGGAACATTTTCACTGAATATTTTTAGCCCTCATGGTTCAGCCTCCTAGGAGGGATAGATGCTACCCTTAGAATCTTAAATGGGAATGGGGTTGCGCAACACATAATTTAAAATGCAATTTTATGGAGAATTCAACAATATGACTATTAAGTGAGTTTCTTTTGATTTTAAAGCCCTCAGGCGGAATAAAAAACTGTTATGTATTGTAAAGTACGATACTTCATTTGAAAGATAATTTTATTAGATACGTAGCATATAAAACTAGGAAAAATTACCTAAATTATCCATATCATAAATTAAAAATCACTGAAAAATATCCATACTACATGGCAATAAAATTTTACAACAAACTACCTTCAAGAATAAAAAAATTGTTTCTTAAATAATAAATTTAAAAAAGAAATTAAAAAACTAATTATGGAATTAAAACCTTACTGTATTAATTTAAAATAAAAATTGTTTTGTTTTGGACATCATTTCATTCTGTGCTGTCATATTTTTTTGTATCTGTCAACTATTTTTTTAAATAAAGATATTATTATTATTATTTAAGATTCTAAGGGATATATCACAAACAGCATAGTACAACTACTACTTCTTCTAGAAGGTAGTGGTTGATAACTTCTCAGAATCAAAAATTATTATATCCGGTGTGCCTCAGGGATTCATCATTCCTAGTGTACATCTGACTTGACAAAAGTACTTGAAGAGAGTCAAGTACAAATTTATGCTGAATATACCTAATTATTAAATTATTTTAAACCCCGAGATATACACAATGCTAACAATTTGATTAATAAGAGATTTGCAGCTTCTATTACAATATTTAAAAGAACACACTCTTACTATTAATCCTCTAAAAACTACTGGTGTTCTGGTTTGCAGTGAAGCCAAGATGTGTTGAGAGAACAATTAGACTCGAGTTGGATGATGTTAGTACAGTGTGTCCACTTAAGTTCGCAGCACATGGGAAACTTTTATTATTAACTTTACGAAAAAAGTTATTATTATACATAGTCTAAAACCGAAAATACAACCATCAGATATCAAATTTTTACAATAGTATATGAGGTATGTCAAATAATATGAATTTTGATGAAGAATAAAGTACCTTTATTTTTGAGAAACCATATACGACTGATAAAATTTGATACACGATAGTTATATTTTAGGTTTTAGACCATGATCGACTTTTTATGAAGAATAACTTTTTTTACTAAAATTAATAATAAAAAAGATTTTTATATGCCGCCAACTGTCTACGTAAGTTTATTACTTTAAAAAACGAGGCAAAAAATTTTGGTCTATTTAGATTTAAATCATATTAAGACCTTAATCAAAGGATGTTACCCAAGTTTGTGATTGCTTTACATTAATAGGCATATATTAAGTTTTAAAATGAGAAAAAATCTTTGTGAACATTTAATTTTATCAATATTAAGTTATTACAATATTGTGTTATATCCTTGTTTGGTCAAAATGTCACAAATCCACTTACAGCTCATACAAAATGCTTACTGCAGATTTGTTTTTGGTTTGAGGAAATATGATCATATCCCATTTTATTTCGCCCAGTTGAAATGGCTCAAAATTGTCAATCTACATCAATTAAATATTTAAATATTTTTGCATAGACTACTAAAGACAATTTGTTTGAGAAATTAATTTTCAGAACATCAGTTCATGTTATTAGACAAAATAATGTTACAATGTCATCATTCCACCACAAAGTTTGAAAGATGTTTCACTTATATTGCAGTTAAAATTTATCATCAGTTTTATTTTCTAAATTGGAATGTATGATTGTTAAAAAGTATTATTTGGCTAAGCAATAACCTGCTTTTGTTTGGATTTCTCATTACAATTAAATTGTATTTCTTTGTACTTATTTATATTTTTTTTTCCTGCCTTATTATTATTAATACTATTAGAACAGGGTGGGTGGCTCAATGGTTAGAGTTTGGATATTCGGTGACGCTATTTTTATGTAATTTAATTAATTAAAAATTAATCCTAATGCAAAGGCAGGATTCCCCACTCGACCATTCACTGTTGGGTTCTAATTGACAGTGCTGTTCCTAGAGAGGCGCTGGAAAACAGTGACAAAGCCTACACCGAACACGAGGCTAATAACCTTAGTAGTTGATGCCGATGGCATCGAATTAAAAAAAAAATGCTATTAGACTACGGAACACTATGTTATTATTATTCATGTTAATGTAAATAATATATTATGCCAACTAGGAAGGTTAAGGGTCAAGTGTATCTGAATAGCCAATCTTCGCCTCCCTCATGCAAGTGCACGTATACATTTGTTTTTAACAAAAACTTATTATTATCTAGCCTTCCTAATGGATGAACCACGAGGGCTAAAATTATTCAATGAAAGTTTCCCCCTTGAGAACAAAATACCTTTCCGATTTTTCATATTATTTACTGAAAGATATTATGGGTGGGAAGTTGGGACACCCTGTATAATCAGGAACAAACAATTTTATTTAAATACCATATATAACTAGAAGTCTCTTTAAAAAACACCGATTTCTATGTTTGAATGCAATTTTCATCTTTAGATTTATAAATTTAATATGACTTCGTTGTAGGTATCATGTATATTGTTCATATAATAACAAATGATTTGAGACTTTGGTCCAAATAATAAGATTTAATATTTTCGTATTTTTCTCAATAGTGTCGTGCTCAAAAGTCTATTTATACGAATGTCATTCCAAATAACAATAAATTAACTACTGCTACCCAACACCGAAATTAATACTAAAACATTTAACTAAACTTACTGTTGTTCATACTCCGACTGGTGATATTTGTAGGTGCCCCTAGAATAATCAAACAACATTTAAACTACTCAAAAAAAAAACAAATCTGTTTTTTTATCCATGAGATAAAAACCATATAACCCCAAAAAAAGTCAAAAACCAAATACAAAGCAATGTCGAAGCGTTAAAATAAATAGTGCGGCAAACAAAAAGAAAAACAAAGCAGAATGAAGTGGTGTTATCTAGCAGATGAAAATTCTGTCAAATTACCTCATCATCAACTCTTCGTCAATGTACTGCAAGAGACTCCTAAATAACATAATATAACGAATTAAAAATTAGGGTCTAGGTGATCAGAGGATCAAAAAATTCCAAATCTGTTAAAGATATTAGTGCTAAAAAAACTCGAAAAATCGAAAATCCATGTCTGTTAGATTCTAAAAAAAGTTAATGCAATTTTCAAAAATACAAAGAGCTAATAAATAAAAAAGAAAAATCAATAAATAATTAGTAAGATTGGAAAAAATAGTGGCCAATTATTTTATATTTATTAAAATTCAAATTGTTTTATTTAGAAAAATCTATTTAATTTAATACTTATCAAGCAATAAATATTTTTGTAAAATTAGAAACATAACCTACTATTTTTCTTTCTGAAATGTTAATCTAACTACTTATATTTTCCAACTGCTGTATATGAGTTCTTTGTAGAGCTAAAAGAGCTAATAAAAACACTGCAAATAAAAAGTATTAAAAAAAAAACAACAAAACAAAAAGTGCAATAATGCGATAGTAAAATCAACCACACTCTCACAAATGGCTGACCTTAGTGACATTTTCAAAATTTGTGATCCCGTCATGGCTTTTCTTTCTTGACTAAGACAGAAAAAAGTTAGATTCTTTAACTAAAACATTTATTTAAAAAAATGGAATCTTACACATATTAAGTAGCTAATCCAAATCTCTATTTTTGAGGATTTCAAATATTTTAATTGCATATTAGTTATTAGTGCATACAATAATATAAATGTGAAAAAATTATCAATGATAACAATGTTGTAAGTTAATTGTGGTTTTATGGCATGTCTCTCAAATTTTTGAAAAATAAATGAAATTCTGAAAGTATCAGAAATGCTGTTCACAATTTTTATAAATCAGTCATGGCTATGAAACTTTCGATACTTCAATATGAATTCGGAGTGTGACTAGAATAAAACCAAATTAGTGCTATAAATATAGTAATAATTAACAATATCGCCTTCAATATACTTCCCTCCACTGTACCCACACCGATCCATCAGAATTTTCCGTGTAAACCCACGCGACGCTTTTTAAAAAAAATCGGCGTCAAAGTCTGTTTGGCGGTTTCCATGGAAACCGCGAAAAACCACCCAAACTCGTGTTTTTTGACCCACTGTTATTTTTTCAGAGAACCGGGTGCACGGTGGAAGGGAGATTGTGCTATACTGGCAGATGCTCTAGACATGTGAGTTGGCTACAGGAAATTTTCACCTGTCACTTTTTTATGACGTTTTGAAAATTTCGTTATCGTTTTTCGACGGTTTATTAAAAAGAAATAATTTTTTAATATTTTTCCTAAACACCCTTTACCTCTCTCTACCTCACCACGCATACAGAAATTTCGTCGGGCGCCATTTTTTTTCGGCCAAACATATGGATCGATTTCGATGAAACTTGGCCCGCAGTTGTAAACACACGAGGAGCTTTTAAAAAAAAAATGTTGTCAAAATTGGCTCGGCGGTTTCGATGGCAACGGCGAAAAACAGCCAAAATCGTGTTTTTTTACCCACTGCTCCCTTTTCAGAGAACTGGGTGCACGGTAGAAGGGAGATGTGCTACTGGTAGATGGTCTAGACATGTGAGTCAGCTATAGGAGATTTTCACCTGTCAACTGTCACTTTTTTATAACGTTTTGAAAATTTCTTTATCGTTTTTCGACGGTTTATTAAAAACAGGTAATTTTTTGGCTATAGCAATAATTTTTTAAAAGTACATTCAAGGTCACCCCAATGGTTCTTTTTAGTGCTGATTTGACCTTGGACGTTCTAATTCATGGTTCTAAATACTAGGCCAAAAACCTTTCGATAAATAGGGTATGTGGGCTGCAGCATTGCCCTGATGAAGGAACCACGACTTTGTTTTGTTAAGATCTGCCTAACAGTTTATTTTTTGATTCCTACGGATCCTGCAACAGCTCAAATACTTAACCGTCAGTTTTTTTCAGATCATTGCACCGATCTTTTCAAAGTTTGTCTGTTTTTGAGGTGCAAGATCGTCCTGAGCACAAATCGTTTGTGATGACTTCTCGGTTCTCATTAATCACTCAAATATCTGAGTGTGTGGTAAACACTCATCTCAATATTCTTCTTTCAATAAAGCATACATTTCGGTGGCGGATTTTCCGAGTTTGACATTGACGAGTCGCTTTCCATGAACTCATGAACATGTTTTTGGCGGAGCACGGATACAAGGTCCACTTTGAAATAAGGCCACCGCTCAATTAAGCGAAGCCCGACCTTTACGTTGATAATAATAGAGAGAAAATATATCACGTGATTCTCACGTTTTCCATTTGACCTTCAGAATAATCAGTCTGGTTTTTTCTAGCCACACCTCCTAGTATCATCATATTGTTTTCTGTAATCTAGCTGAAATTATTTTATATAACAATAAAAAATTTATCCGATTTAAAAAAGGATTATAAGCATGTGGTTATTGTGAAACAACTGTTTTTCTGATAAATGATTTGTCAATGATAGTATATAACAAGTGTTTGTACCTTGCCTGGTAAAATTCTATTTAAAAATAATAGTCAAAAAAAGCTTTTTTGTTCAAATTTATTTAAACCTCATGACTAGGAATGAAAGCGGACGTGTAACTAATATGTTAGAGAGTGGTAAGTTATGAAAGATGAGGCTTTTTGCATGTAACAACTTCCTTTATTTCCGTCTAATGAACTGACTCTAATAGTTTGATGTAACACGAACTAAAACTAACTAAAAAAATATTCCCACAGATCGACTCAGTGGATTGCGACCAAATATTGATCGACCGTCATGTTTTTGGTGCCATAGAAACCATAACGTCATTTTTGTACTTTGGGATTTTTTTTGAAAGAAGGAATTACATTTCACACGTAATATACAGGGTGTCGCATGACGTACTGTACCAACTTAAATAGAATGTTTATTTCAAGCAAAAAATGTCCTATGAACAAATATCTAATTCTCCATGGTTAGCAAGCTACAAGTGTTTATATCAAAAGATAACTTAACTTAGTATGCCATGTGTTCGAATATGTCGAAACACAGCACTGAACGTTTGATGATTTGGAACTTGTCGGTACGGAAATCGTCTCCGATACTCCCTACAAATTGCTCGCGAATTTCCATTACAAAAATCCATAAATGTACACTATGTTGGGGTATTTTTCATTCGAAAATAGCACAGGCATGTTGCAAATTTAAATTTATCACAAACAGAAAACGTAGTTGACAAGTGTTGGATTGACTAATCATCTGACGTTTATAATTGCTGATAAACAACCAAAAAATGTCTGACAGATCGTTCAATTTCCTCCTTCAAGGCGTGGATGGTAGTGGACTTGTTGCCATAAACTATAGATTTTAAAGAACTCCACAATGAAAAAAAGTCCTGGAACGTTAAATTGCATGCCCTGATCACCAAAAATGGAAATTACTCGATCAGGAAATTACAATTTTTAAACTATTTCTCGACCATGAAAACGCGTTCCTTCATACAATGTTCAATTTCTACTTTCTCTTTTTTGTTGGCTTGGCAACATTTTAGCACACAAATAGCGCAACAAACAAATCTAAAGAATAATTTCAAAATCTGAGGGTAAACAGTTGATATTTTTATTCATTAAAACCTTGAAAAAGCCGAATAAATTATCGCAAGAACCCTCAATAACTCAGTAAAGTTAAGTGATAATTTATGCTAATATTTTACTTATTTTAATTTTTATAATAAAAATAATATTTAAGCCACTGTCTGAACAGAGTAAGACATTTTAGGTCTGCGTTTAGCATCTTGGTATCAAAGGGTCCCATATTGGATTTCGAAATTACACGTCCTTTCTTTCCTAGGCTAAGGTTTAACTGTTCTGTAATTTTGAGTGTTTATATAAAATCCTAAAAACATAGTGTAATAGCGATATAAAAATAGCAAAGCTGATTTTAAAATACGATATTTAAAAAAATTTGTTGTTGAGAAATAAAATTTTGTGTTTGTTTGGCATATGTTTCTGTCTTATTCGCCATTTTAAATTTAATATTAATTCCCTTAAATGACAATCTTTTAATATAAAGCCATATGAATTTTAGCAAAAACGAATACACATTAATCTAACAATAAAACATGACTTACTTTTCCCTGATGAGAGAGTCGAATGCATTTCCGATGCCACATTTTTTATTTTGATGTTCAGCACAATTATGCACACTCGTAACATTATTCATAATATCCATCAAATCCCATTGAGGTTGTTTTTCTTCAATTATAACTGTCGGTATGTCTAAAAATATTAGAATACATGAAAACGATATTTCGAACCAAACTAAGCCATTTTTGTACCTGATCTTTGTAAAGTATTGTTAACCTCATCGATTCTGTCAATATCTGAGTTAGAAAGTACCGCATTTTGTGATTTTGGTCTAGAAGTCAGTCGTGATGCAATTCTTTGGGGAACGTTAGGTACAGCCTAAAATAAATCGTAAATGTTTGATAATCAAAATGTAAATTTGGAATAATAATTAAAAAAAAAGTTATTTAAATAAACATTCATATTATTATTTATTACCCCATCTTCATCAGGTTCAAGTTCAGTAAATGTGTGTGAGGGATTGCTAACTTTCTGTAGCAACTCTAAAGCCAGTCTTCTATGCATGTCACCTTGGAAAAAAGCATGCTGAAAAACGAAAAAATTATTGATTTTTTTTGTTAGAACAGAAAAAACTACTGGTGCCGTACCTGCAATAATTTTTCGGCAGTTGGTCTTTTCTTTGGATTTTTTGTTAAAGCTACTTTTACGAAATTGTGGAAAGTGGGACTCCTAAAAACAGAGAGGTGGTTAAAAAAAAAAAAAAAATAGTAGTGGATATGGACAATCCACTCGAGTTGTACACATATTTTTTCTCGGCCCACTAACCAAAATCTACAAATATTAATAAATATTTTAGGGTATTAAGATAAAATAACTAGTTTAAAAATAACTTATGACTTTTACTAATTTATAAAATAAAAAAAGAAAAAAAATTATTCCCCAGCCCAGATTCGCGTCTATCCTCGCGTCCCCCGCCACTTTTAGGATTTTGATTTTAATACTCGCAATTAAATTAGTTCCATATAGTTCGATTATTTTTTTTTAAATGTGGACCAAATAATAATAAAAAAGCTATTATTTATCGATTCTACAAAAAAAATAAACTTATTTTAATGTATATTTAATCTAAATAACTAAAGAATATATTGACAATTAGTTTGTTGTCACTTATTTAAAATTTTAAAAATAATAGTAGTTGGGTGCCTAAAATATGAACTGTGATTGGTGGATTTCATTTTCTACCTAGAATTGATACGAAATATTTTCGTTCAGTTGAATGCAATGGCATACTTTTTCGTTTTGTAGTATGTGCGTGATAAGCTAATATCCAAAATTGTACATAGATTTTATGTTTGAGTAGGGCTAAAACTGAAAAATCTCTGAAATGAATTTTCTACAGAGATCAACCAAAAGTCCCTTTTTGTGGCAAATTGCTGGAGGAATAATTAAGTTAACGTCTTTACCGTAAGGGGAGATATTTATAAAATTATGGATTAATGAATGAATAAAAACTGGGACGTTTGCAGGAAAATTATACTTGGCTTTTCTTAAGGTAGTTCACTCGTAAAACGGCTTTTCTTAAGAATTTAATAAAATTGAAACATAAGGTTTATGAGTGTCGTTTACGTAACTAAAAAAAAAAAAATTAGATTTTTTTACCGTCTGTGAAACGAGATATTAACAATTAAAATGTGCATAATTAACACTCTTGAAGCCTATCATGTACACCAGCAATGCATTTATTTCAAGATATCTCGAAAACGGTTCTTACCATATTTTTTAAAAACTAATGTTAAATAAATCAAGAAGTTATAAAATTTTATAAATAATCGCTGAATTTTTTGACCGTCTTAGTAAAAAGATATAGATTTTTAAAATAAAAATATTTTTAAAGCAGTTGACGAGTAGTTTCGTAAAATTATTACAACTTGACAACATTGTAACCACTTCACGTAACAAAGTAACACTCGATCAGCTAAGAGGTTGTTATAAACTCACGACGTGTTCTTGATAAATTAATTCGTCCACTGTGTTTGAGAACTGGAATCAGCGGTTCTGTTTGAACCAAAACAAACCCTTAAAATTAGTATGAGGAAGTCACCAATTTCTATACCATGTTGTTTAAATATTTGCGAGATTGCCGGATGAATTTGTTTAAAATTATAACATGTCCGTATGTGTGGGAATCCTCGAAAAATGGATTCGAATCACGAATCCGAATCACGAGATGTTAATCGAATCACGGATCCAATGTTCGAATCCTTTTTTTCGGATCACTGTCAGAGTTATACTGTGATATTAATTATATTTGCTTTCGAATCTAATAATGTTTTATACCTCGGTCCTAAAATATTTAACGCACTTCCGGTGGAATGTAAAAACCTAAATTCGATAGTTCTTTATAGATCTAAATTGCAACAATGGATGTTAACTAAACAAGGACAAATATTTTAAGATTTTATTAATTTAAATATAACTAAAATCTAAAATCATTTAGCTAAAAAGAACTTTACTTATTTGCAATTATCCAATTATTTATAAAATATTCAATGCTGTAGCTAATTTGTATCTATAATAAATAAAAAAAACAAGTATTAGAAATTAAAAATTAAAAAAAAAACAGACTTCAAAAATGTGCAGATGCCGTCATCACATCTTAACCAAATTTATATGGAACCACCCCTGAGGTACCCCCTTACTAAAAAAAAAAGAATCATATGAATCGGACAAGGTGGTAAAGCATTATCGCTAAATATACATAAAAAATGAAGAGTTTGAGGATTTTGTCATGGACCCAATTATTAGATTTTGACCAAATTTATATGGGACCACCCCTGAAGGGGGTACTTCTAACAAAAAAAAAAGAATCATTGAAATCGGACACCGTGTTAAAGAATTATCGCTGAACATACATAAAAAAAAATATCGCGACGAATTGAGAACCTTCTCCTTTTTTGATTTGTTAATTCTGTAATCGTGCACATCGCCAAATACATCGGTTTTCTATTCAGTCTCAGTCTGTTTTAGTTTTTAGTTTACAATTCGCGACAAGCCAAAGCTTGAGTCGGCCGTTCGCGCCGGCCTAGTTTGGTCTCTAAAAGGATCCGAGACTGATATTGATGATTCGAATACGAATCCTTTAGGATTTTCTCTGCGGATCACGGATCCTTTTTTTCTAAAGTATTCGAATCCCGCTCTCGGATCCTCAAAAAGGATTCGAATCCTGGATTCTGGTTTATATACATGTGTTTTGTACAGTCTCTTACAAAAATAAAATTGATTAGCATTGAGAATCTTGAACTTTTGGTATTCACCATTACGCGATATTTTTATGTACGACTGTCGCGAGTGAACTACCTTAATAATTAGTTGAAATCTATAACTCCCCCACCCCGTATCTTATTCTAGGTGCTGGTTGTAGATATTTAAATAAATACACATAACTTATTAGTTTTAACTTTATTTCAACTGCTTCAACAAGTTGCAGTTCCCACCTTTTTTAAGTATACATTCACTTAACCTCACTCCGGTTGTCTAGCCGTAGCTACAGTTGTGGCTACGGCTAGATATATTGAATCCCTCTCCTTACAGGTTTAATTTGTCAGGTCTCTTTATAACTCTGCCCGTGCGGGTAGTTACAATGAGTTGCTGAGAAGGGGTACAGGGTTCAGGTGAGAGTTAAATCTGGTTCTCTCAGTAATTTTTCCTGGGTACTTTTGTCATATATGCCAAAAACAATACGATCTCTAACCATTTCATCAGTTTGGGTATATCCCGTTGTTCTTATAGCTTTCTTTACTTCGGTAACAAATGCATTGAAAGGTTGTCCCTCTTTCTGAGTAATATTGTTAAAGAGATACCTTTCATATATTTCATTCTTTTTTGTTGCACAGTATGCTTCAAACTTTTGTAACACAGCGGTTTGTTATTTCTTCACCTTCTTCCCACGTAAATGTATTAAACAATTCAAGTCCTTCATCTCCAATAAGATTTAAAAACATTGCTTTTCTTTTTTCTTGAGGTTTCCCACAGTATCCCGTAGCATCCATAAAAAGTTCATATTTTTGTTTAAACTTCTTCCAGTTTTCGGAAATGTTACCGTCAAGTATTAGGTTTCCTGGTGGTCTGAAAAGAGGCTCCATTTCTGTGTGTTTCTACACCTCGAATACTGATAAATTTTCTAGCTTCTCTTTATTTTTTCCGGCACATTGATTATAAATAGTAACGAAAAAATACGTAATTGAATTTGCAATTGAAAAACCTCTAAAGTAAAAAATTAATCAATCAACTCTTCCATTAAAAAAAAGTTGGGGGTTGGTGCAACCCCTCAGGTAATTAAAAAAATAATAATGCCACACTAAAAATAAAAATTGTTGTTTCAGAACTTTTTAGACAAACCCTTATTTATTTGGTATGATCGGTCGATTATATTTTTTACATATGTTTAGAAATACAATTCTTCTGGTGCAGTCACAGTTTGTTAAAAATTATAAAACATTTAGGAACATAACACGCAGAATTTTTATGGACGAAATCCATCTTTTTGTTTCTGATAGTGTGTAGTTACAGAATTTGTTCCAGTTAAACTTTCTACTTTGTATAATTAATCAATAATTACAGTTTGTTTTGCAAAAATTGCATGTTTTGCTGTTATGCTTTAAGATATTTAAAGAATATTAAACTTAGTTTTTTGTATTTTGTTTTAGTAAGTAAATAAAATTTTATTTTTTTATTTAAAGTCCGAATTAATTAAAAAAAGTCGCAACTGTCTTTTTTGACGTTTTTTTTTTATAAAATTAATGACTTAATCCAACCCTGGATACGAGCTACGAGGCTTAATGTTCACCTACTGCTACACTAACCATGTATTAGATGGCTAAACGCTAGTCCCTTGTAACATGCATTGGCATCACCCATCAAAGAAATTACCGGTGTCTCACTGCTTAACTGTAGCAAGTACATGGAGGACCACTATATCCACGGCGGCGGAATGAAAATAAACTTTTTCTAAGAACATTTAGAAACTAAATAAAATAACCATTTTTTACATAACATTTTATAGATATGTGATATTTATTTTTATTTACTATTATACTATAGACAAAAAAAATAGAAGCAATTATATTAGAAGACAAAAACGATAAATATAATTTTGTCTGCAAGTAAGTTTTGGTTTTTAAGTTTTATCTCAATTAGACGTTCCAACTAGCCTAACCTCTTTAGATTATTTTCAAGCATCAGTAGGTCAAGTTTAAGTTTTTGTGCAGTGTTTACAATATGAAAGACAAAATATATCCCAATGGCAAGTTATTTAATTTATTCTATTTTTTATTTTATATAATATATTAATAATAGGCAAATGATTTATATTAGATTGTGAAACTAATTATTAACTTACGTTCAAGCTACTTGCTAATTTAAGTAACAGTAAAAAAACATTTTAAATACAACAGTGAGTTAATTAATTCCGTATGCAAAGGTCAATATATTGAAACGAAACAGATAATTAACAGTTTTGGATTTTGTAATTTTTCAAATGATATCCTGTCTGTCATTTATTTTGCAGTAATTCCAGAATTTTTTACCCAAACATTGATTTATCAGAACATTATTATTTAATTGAAACAAAAACAAAAACAGCAGAAAGTTTAATAAACTATCCACAATAATATATTAAAGCTTATATTCTTCTTAATTTAATAGATACTAATTATAGTTATCTGGCAAATTAAATAAACAAATTGTTGTTTATTAGCAATTGTATTACATGTACACCTATTTTAACTGATTACCTATGAAATAGAAAGCATTCTACCCATTTTAAATTCATTAAACTCATACCATAAAATTGCAATTAAAAAACTATTAAGTATAGCTCTTGTTGCAATTTTTTGATATAAACATGGCTTTCAATTCATACCCCATAAAAACGCGATTTTAAGTTTTAAAGTTATTAATAGATAATTATTTATTGATAAATTTAATCAAATCAGATAAACATCGTTTTGATTATTTTTTTTTTTTGAAGAAAATTCCTCCCAAACAGAAAGAATACTACAATCAGAGAAATTCAAATTTAAATTAATATAAATATAACAATTAATTTAAATATTGAAAATGTTTTTCATTATGCAAAATATATTTCAAGGTAAATAGTAAAAATATAATATGAAAACCAAACCCATCAGTTTTGAAGTCACAAAGTTTATTGATAAGTAAATATGGTAGTGGCTTCCAGCAACAAGTTTCGTCCTTATGGTCATCATTAAGACTTAATAGTTTGAATATTTATTTACCATATTTACATCTGTTGCAAGAAGCTTGTTAATCTATCAATAGCTATGATCCCATAACTTTATTAGACTGAACTGTCAGAATAATGTGAACATTATAGTATATTACGTAACAAGAGTTGTAAGTAACCCATTATGCACGAAGTGAAAAAGTTTACACACAAAGCCCCGCAGCGGCGAGTGCGTAAATTTCACGAATGCGTAATGGGCTTACAACTCGTGTAACGTACTATACTTTTTCTACGCCCATTTAAAATATTCTCAAAAAAGGATTTAATGTTATACTTGTGTCGCCAATCCATAAATTTTCGCGTACCTTTTTTTGGATTTTAGCGGTAACAAATTATGTGTGGCAGCTTGAGCTTTTTCTAAAATCTCCGATGGAGTGCTCATAATTTCATCACTTTTACTGCTAATAAACATATTCGTAGGTAAAGTTGAGAAAAAGTTCGGATACAATCACATTTTGTTACAAAAATTGACAATATAAATGACATGATGTTTATTTCCTAAGAAAACGTGACATATTTTTTAAAAAATTGTATATGTTGCCTACATTTAGGGGCATCACTCTTTTAGTCTAAAATTTATATTGCTAATACTAAAAGTTTTTATGTTTTTTAAATGACTAAATTTATGTAAATAGACCAAATAAAGTCGTACGTAGACAAACATTTGATTGCAATTTGAGTAAACCAAGAAATTTAAGTTATCTTATCAAAACGCATGTGTATGTTATGAGATCTTATTAGGTGCATGTTATTGTTAAATGTCATTTACAAGGAATATTGATAGTGCGATTTTTAACGTTTACTGACATGGGCGTAGAAAAAAATATTTACAGTCTAAACATCTATCAAAATTTATAAGGCTACTAAATTTTAATGAATATTTTTGCAACCGACTATTGGTCACATTTGAGATATGGTAAAAATGCTTGGATCTTTTAAATATCTACTCACCACTTCTCCTTGTCTTTTAATGTGGGCGGTTTGAAACCACTTTTAGACATCAAAAATAATGCCCGCATAGGATGTAAATCAAACATAGGAGGCTGCAATTCCGCTAATTCTATTGCAGTGATACCAGTTGCCCAAATATCACAAAGTTGATTATATCCTCCTTTGCGTTCAACAGCAGCAACCTAAAAAAATTAATAAAATGTATCATTATATTATATCTTTTATATAATTTAAATTACCTCTGGGGCCATCCAGTAAGGTGTGCCAATGAAAGACTTTCTTTTATTTATTGTAGCAGTAATTTGAGCGGACACACCAAAATCAGCTAATTTAACATCACCATTTTCAGTCAATAAGATATTCGCACCTTTGATATCCCGGTGCATCTTCCCCATGGTGTGCAGGTACTGCAAACCTAATAATGTTTCTCGGCACATGTATGCAATTTGATTTTCTGCTAAAGGACCCGTAACTAAAAAAAAAGAGGCCCAATAAATTAAAGTGTAGCTTTACTCAAAATATAGTGCAGTGGCAATTAATTTTTGTTTAAAAAGTGAGTACAAGTTAAAAAAAATGGAGTAGGTTGTAAAATATTTAAAAAGTCAGTATATTGTTTGGTGTGACGTAATTTGTGTCCCAAAAACAATCGACTTTCAACAAAAACAAACCATTCTGTCATTGAAATTGACATATACATTTTAGTTTTTTTTATTGTTGTTAAAAATTAGTTTAAAGGTGTGTAACCAAATTATTTTTAAAGTTTAAATAAATATAAGCTTGAAAATAATAGAAATAAAATGTCTACTGTCACTATCAATGGTTGTGGTAATAAAATTTTGCAATTTCCATGTATTCTTGTAATTAAGTCATTAAATCTATAATATTATAATTATTACAGAAAAATAGAAAAGACAGAACAAAACAAAACGAAAATAGTATTTAACCATGAATTATTACAACATAAAACAATAAAAGATCCCTTAAATATTACACCTTATTAAAACATAATTACAAACGTTTTTTTAATTATTTTTTTGTCGTCTTCTGCAGCAATACCGCACATTAATTTACAAATCTCTGTTCAGCAACTTGTTTAATAAATGCTTTGTTTTTAAATACCGCACAAAAAAAAATCCAGAGTTGTTAGCTCTGGGCTTCTTATAAACCAAATAAAAATAAATAGCGATTTACTGATCCCTTATAAGTTCTTGTTTCAATCTCTCAAACAAAAAAACTTTTCAATATCTCAAATAATAACTAAGGGTGAGTGGAATTTTTTAAAGGTTTATCAATAAACAAGGCTTACAAAGACTTTACTGGCAAATAAAAATTGATATTTTTTTAAATGGAACGCTCTGTATTTCATTTCAGTGTTAGAATGGTCTAGTAATACTGCATTCAAAGCTAAAATATTTTTGAAAACTATTATTGGATTGTCAAGCAATTTTTTTTGTGAAATTATAGAATGATGTAGATCCCAAACAAAATTAGCATAATTTGGGTAGGTTACCAATGATTTCAAAATGGTTCAAAATACGGACTTGCAAGATACCAAACTAACGAATAGTCATGATAGAACTGGTTAATTTTTTACAGAGTGTTTTGAAGTATGTCATATATATGCTCATTCTGAGTGCTTTCTTGTATGTTATCTAGGCTAGGTTACTTGTGAGCACTATTAGAGCTATTCCTGACACTCTAACTGAACGTTCTTTTTTAATGCTGCTTGTTGATCTGGAGCAACTCTCACCAGTTCTCCCTTCTCCCATCAAGCACTTGCTTGATAGCATCATTCTTTTTTGACATCACAGGGTTTCATACAACAAGAACATTAAACCCTTAAAAAAAGGCCCCCATTAAGTTCAATTTATTCAAGTTTTTCAAATACAATGCCCTGTATATTATTTGTGCAAAAATTTCGTTATGAATTTACCTATCAAATGATACCAACATGTTTGTTTATTTATTTATGGGCAAGCTCATTTCAATTACAAATTACAATTTTAAAAATTAATTAAAATATCACAAATATTTATGGTGCTGTAGCACAAACAAAGACATACATGTCAAACAGACTAGGAACATTCAAAATAACAAAATAGGTTAGTGGGAGGTTAAAAAAGAGAAAATACACAGTAAATTATTAGCATTAAGCAGAAAGACTCTGGTCGATAGCCCTTTGGGATTATCCCCAATAAAGATTTTTCCTTCTTCTTCATTAGCATTAAAGCTCAGTATTAAGTATTTGAGTTTTGAATGATGAAAAGGGAAAATTGTGCAAGTAGCTAATCTAAGCATTCTTTGAATAAAGCTGTTTAAAAGCTTGGTTTGATCTACAAAAAGATACATAAAATGTTTGCAGTTGCCTAGTTCAACGAGTTTGAATAAGATTTATTTTTTCAAGAAGTTTAGGACAATTACATCTACTATTTATTAGTGATGGGTCACTTGGAAAAGTCCGACGGTCTAGTCTGAAAAGTTGCAGGTGCGAAATTAAATTAAATAATTCGTCTGAATTTCTTACAAATAAAGGCAAAATATAGTTTTAAAAAGAAGAAACGATAAAGGTTTACTGAATTTTACGTTTTAACGATGTTTTCGAATTTTCGTTTCATATCTTACTAAAATAAACTCGTGAAAAAATTACCAAAAGATCCAAAAGTTGGAAGTATTTTACAAATGATTTGCCTAAAAAAACGAAAATACAAATATTGTTCCCAAAGTGTTTTTGAAAAATAGCCAGGATGGAGATTTAATGCATGTCTTCTATGCTCAAGGTTAGTGTTGTGAATATCCGTATCTTTTTAGTATTCGGATAATACGTATTCGGAACCAAGAGATATTCGGATTCATCATCCGGATACGTATCCATATGTGTGAAATCATAATACGCAACCGTAAATACACCGCGACTTTGGGAATCGGAATCGGACAGTGTTGTCAACCCTAGCAGAATTTATGTTTGAGAGTGAAGTAACAGGAGCTTTTAATGTTTTAGAATAATAAACACAAAATAAATCTAAAATATTTTGTTTTTTATCATAATATCAAAAACAAAATTTCTCATTTATATTTATATAACTTCATGTTACCTTTAAAATATGCAGTGCATGCCGACTAACCGATTATGAATTGCAACAACGCTAGACGATTCCGAATTCTGATTTCGTATCCATAGTTCGTATCGGCTGCCACCCGCAAAACCCGAATCGGCTCTGTCATAACAGAACTTGCAGCATTCGATTCGTGTATTACGATTTTGTTTCTGTTCTTTTTGATACCGAATTCGTATTCGAATTTACACTATTGATTCCGGAATATCCGGATCCTTTTAATATTCGGATTCAACGGATTTTTGGATACGTATTCTTACATCACTACTCAAGGTCAACTACTTTTCATTGTGACTTTTACGGACATGCCGTAGGACTAGTTCAAAAATTACTTTTCATGAAAAGTCCCATTTCCACGATTTATAATATAAAATAGCAAAGTAAGGTTCCTCTGTTTCCAAGGAGGGGATGTTCCATGAAATCATACTCACAATAAACACCCAATTTAAAAGCTATATGTCTGAGAAAGTTGTGCTGAACACTGGCCTACTATGTTATATAGTGTTGAGACCAAACGGAAGAGAAATAGTCAAGGAGGGGCCTAACTAGCTAAAAATGAAAAACTTTAATTGCAGTTGTGCCAGTAAAATCATACCTATGATAAAATCCAACATTTTCATAGATTTGTGGACATCAGCAGATATATGTTGATTAAAGCTTAAAAAGGGATCAAGATTAATTCCAAGGTTTTTAATTTGATAAAGAGTCCAAGATAATATGCCCATTTAAGACCACAGTACCACCCCCAATATTCGTAACATGAACTAATTTTGATAGATGTCATTTATGTGTCATAAATTAAGAATCCTTTTGTTCAGCAGATGGAGCAATATTCCATATTTAATAGTTCTTTTGTTCAACAGATGGCGTAATAATTTTATTAGTTCTAAACGGTAACTGTTATAAAATACCTAACAAATTCATCACCCCTAGCTACTACGCGATAATAACTAAACGAGTTCTTGACCTTGACAAATATTTTCGATGAAACAGGTATAAAAATAAAACTTTTGCATTAGATTCGGCACGTCGGTATATTTATTTAGTAGCAGCGTTGGGTTTATTAGTACAATTGTACTAGATTCAGTACATTTCAACCATTCATAAATGCTAGTACCACAAAAGACAAAAGTATCTAAATCTAGTACATTTTAAATATTTCGCTGGATCTTCTAGAATAATGTATTCTATGATTTCCAATTTCTATGCTAGACAGTAGATACTTCTGATACTCCCAATGCGATACTTTATACCAGGGAGGCTATTTTCAAACTCGAGAAAAGTCATTCCTCTCAAGAGAAATGTCATAATATGTCAACGTAAAACAGTATTTTTAGGGCCCTTGGGGCCAGTGTGAACTCACAGATTGTTTCTCTCGGTTTATTTAGAGGGAATACAAATTCTCGTAAGAATTTTAATCCTCGAGGCCTTTAAAACAGCGTTTCCATATTGACGTACGACATTTCTGATGAGAATCTTGAGAGAAATGAGTGCTCCCATACTTTGAAAATAAGGGGTAAGAGATAAGGGAGTATGAGTCTTCATATAAGGGACATAAATATAAGATACGCTCCTAAGCATATGCTTAACAACCACCAGCTCGAACGCAGTTAACATCTGGCCCACTATGTGTCGCTATCATCGATATCAAACAAATAACCCAGCGGGAAATTTAAAAACCTGATAAATATCGACTACACTTTCATGTTCTAGTAAATAAATTTAAACATTGTTAATTACGGTAAATTATTTATTAAAAAGAATACTACACTTACAGTCTATTATAGATTAATTATTGTAAATCTATTGACATAACAAATATTTTTTAATTTTTACCCTTATTTTATTTGTTTTTATTTTTAAATTTTATTATTTAACCATATAAAAATATATTTTTGTTTTACGTATTTTAATTTATATTTTTTTGTTTAAAATAAAGTTTATTTTGGTTTCTTTTTAAATTTTTTATTTACCAACGTAAGAATATATTTTTGTTATACCCATTTTATTTATTTTTTGGTTTAAAATGAGTTTGTGTTCTCATTTGAAATTTATCGCCAAATCTAGTACGTTCTGGTACAATCACGATCTGAATTTCAGTACAAGCTGTTGCTACTAAAAACCCAACGCTGTTTAGTAGTTCATTCTTGTGTCCAGTCAACAAAGGACAACGGTCTTCGTATCATTACGTAGGGACCATTTTTATACTATACATAGTGTTTCGTTAAGAATGGGATATAGAACAACTGACGATTCTCTGATTAAAAATAAGACAACTAAACAAATCATGCTTAGATAAAATGTTTCTTGGTACCGAGTTAAGGTGTTAAAATCCAAAAAATATTTAATGCTTTATTTT